ATTTTTTTTTCCTTTAATAATAAAAACCTTCATTTAAAAACTGCATTTTGTGTTTACTTGTGTTATCTTTGTCTAATATTTCAATTTGTTTGATGATCTGAAACATTTCAGTGTGACAAACATGCAAAAAAATAAGAAATCAGGAAGGGGGCAAACACTTTTTCACACCACTGTACATAAAAAACAAAGGTTCCATCCCAGGATGCTTTTTTAACAAATCTAGTTCAAAGTATTCCATTACATTTCTGTATGGTAAATGGAAGAGATCATCTCACAATCAGAAATTAATAAACACACAGTATATGATTAGCTGTAGCAAGTTATTATTTACTGGATGTTCTGCTCCATTCCCAGGCCAGTTACATCAGTCAGCTGTTTGCAGCTTGTTGTGGAGGCTTGACATGCTAAGTTCTTGGGTTGCTAATGGTTGAATATACAACTGTACGTACAGTACTTTCCCAATAACTAAGATGCTTAGATTTAAGGCTTTAGCTACTTCTGAAATTTTTAAAAACTGAATGTACAATATTTAATAATAATAATTGCTTATACTTTTATAGCGCTTTTCTGGACACTCCACTCAAAACGCTTTACAGGTAATGGGGACTCCCCTCCACCACCACCAATGTGCAGGATCCACCTGGATGATGCGACAGCAGCCATAGTGCGCCAGAACGCTCACCACACATCAGCTATCAGTGGGGAGGAGAGCAGAGTAATGAAGCCAATTCATAGATGGGCATTATTAGGAGGCCATGATTGTTAAGGGCCAATGGGAAATTTGGCCTGGGTGCCAGGGTTACACCCCTACACTTTTCGAGAAACGCCCTGGGATTTGTAATGACCGCAGAGAGTCAGGACCTCGGTTTTACGTCTCATCCAAAGGACAGAGCTTATTTACGGTTTAGTGTCCCCATCGTTATACTGGGGCATTAGGACCCACATGGACCACGGGGTGAGCGCCCCCTGCTGGCCCCACTAACACCTCTTCCAGCAGCAACCTTAGTTTTCCCAGGAGGTCTCTCATCCAGGTACTGACCAGGCTCACACCTGCTTAGCTTCAGTGTGTTGCCAGTTGTGAGTTGCAGGGTGATATGGCTGCTGGCTATATTTAACTACACCACAAAATGACAGATCCATTTCCTTAACTTATTAAAAACTTTTGACTTGTTCCATCAAGCACAAGTCTCGAATTGGCCATTGTCATCTCTTATTTTAGAAAACAGATTGGATTTAGGATTAAATACAAAGGCAAATTTATAATCTCACCTGAATGGATTTGAGGACACTTTGTCTGTTGTCAAATGGTCTAAGGTCTTTGGGGATGTAAAGCCTGACTGAACTAATTGATGCAAGAAGATGGAGCATCACAGGAACAACCTAAACAAGAAACAAACACCATTAACTCCAACACAGGTTTCCGTGGCACTCATTGTGGACTGGCATTACAAAGGAGGGCCCAAAACATTAAGAACTATACTTTTTTGTTTTGACAGTCTCCAGGAAAGGGCTTATTTGTTCTTTTTTTGTGCTGACATTGGAAAAAGGTTTCTATTGGAGACTGCACTCAAATCACACTTCCAGAGCAGCTTACCTCCCACAGACCACTGAGGTCAGAGAAAATCATAACTCGTTCCCAGGCCAGGCAGAAGCAGCTACATGCCAAATGGTAAAAACGGTCAAATTTGAGATCCCTTTTGAATTGGAATATTTATTAAAATGTTTCACCAGGAAGAAACCAAGTGAGAATAAAAATATAATTTGCAGGCTTGTCTCTGAGAGGTAGTGAGAGGAGCAGGATTCTGGAGTTTTTTCAGTCAATGGTGCATAAGTGCTGTTGTGTAATTACCTTTCAGGCACAAAGCTATGGACAAAAACATCAATTCAGTAAACATTAGTCTCAACCTTCAAAATCTGAGGAGATAAATCTGCACATTCAGAAATATGAAGGCAACACATACAAGGGACCCAGGATTAGAGATTGTATTACTTCATCTACAGTTAGCCCCCAGATAATCTAGGACCTTAATCTCAGTGAACAAAAAAACCCTCCTCTTTTTAAATGAGCCAGAGAAAGTGTTAAGGGAAGCAAAAGCTTTTCTGCATTTAAGTGATAAACGGGTAAGCCTGGAGAAATATGCCAAGTATTACACTTAGTATTATGATTCATAACACAACTATTTTACACAACAAAAAAAAACACTGCATGGCAACTACCACATATTCAATCTCATCGTTGCTGAAAGAATTATATTTTAAGCAGAAATCACTGGTTAGGATAAAACAGATTTTTGTTTATCAGGAAAGAGTAGAAAAGGGTTATTTTATGCTATACTGTGCAGTCTATCTAAAAAAACTGACAAGATTTAAGATCTATACTCTAATTTGTACAATTGCCTTAATTGGTAAAATTGGCATCATCATTAATAATAATACAATTTTACTTAGTAGCATTTTTCAATATCTGTTTTATGGTGATATTATTGCAAAAACAAAAAATCCGCATTCACCTGGTACACCATTTCTTATCCAAAATAAAATTAGTTTAACAGACACTCCAAAGTGAAAATTCATTAAAAACATTTTGTGTTGTACATACTAGTGTTGCTCAAGTAGAGCATAGCAAGGCCTCTTCTGGCAATTTGCTAAACCACACTGTGCTGACGCACTTAATATACCACATGTCTTCTAAGATGTTTATATTGAAATCAGGATGAAATAAATGGCATTATCAAAACTGCATACTTGGATTGAACAACAATGTCATTGTTTATAAAATAAGGAAAATTACATTTCCTTTAAAATGTGTTTCAGTAGAAATAAAATTAATTTCACTTGGTGAAAAAAGCTCACCAGTGCTCTCTAATGCAACACTGATGGAGTCTTAAACAGTGGAGCCAAGCATTTTTAGCTGAATCAAGGTTTTGTAAAGACCACCCCGATTGAAGTCAGTGAGTGCGGCGCAGAGATGCAGAGCAATGCATTAATTGTATGTACAATTAATCAACTGATAGGGAGTTCCAAATGTGTTTAACGTGGTCTGCTGAACTCTGGTATAACACATTTCAGCATAACAATTACACAATATGACTATGAGAAGGAAAAAGGTAGCTCAGCAGAATTCTTCAAATTCAACAGTGAAAGAAAAGCACATCATACCAGCAAAAATGAAAAAAGTTGTGGGACTATGGAACAAGCAACACAACCATGCTGTTGATGTCGATACCCTGACTTAAAAAAATTATTGGCTGAAATCCTGGGATTAATTAATTACTAAAATCCAAATATATTATTTGGCTAAAGGAAAAAACATTTTTATCAAGTAACTACTTATCCAATCTGGGGTCACGGTCACCTAGAGCCTATCATGGCAAGCATCTGGCACAAGGCAGTATACACCCTAAACAGGATGCAAGTCCTTCACAGCGCAATTAACTATTTCCATTCAACTCATGATCATCTATCATGGGTACCAACTAAAAACTCAACTCAGCACATATCAATTCAGAATTTGAAGAATATTCTATAGTGCCTACACATGCATTTAGAATTATACATAAAAAATGATTAAGGTGTTTAGTGATTTGGGCTAACAATGAGACCAATTTGATGAAGAAAGATCTGACTTCATTAACATTGTTAATATGTGTAACCTTTTACAAATATGCACTGTCATTTGTATTAAGCATACAAGGCTTTGTGGATATTGCAAAAGTGATAAATGTTTTGTCTTTTGGGTTCTAACTAGCAGGCAAGGATCCCATGGGAGCAGAAAGCAAGCTGAAATCAGAACAAGGACAAAAGGGCAGAAAGAAAAATAAGACATTTCGAAAGGCTTATTCAGAAAAGGCTCTTCAAGCCAAAGTAAACACCCGGCCCTGGGATTCATCCAGATGCACATCATCACAGGATTGGTGTTTGTTAGTTTTGGACTAACAGAGGACAGGAAGCCCTGCAAGAATGCCTCCGACTGACACTAGTGTGCAGTATTACTTTTTTTTTTCATATCAACACTTTCTCTTTCTTCGACCTGAATACGAAAATATCACAAAACTACCGAATCAAAATTGCAGACCCATTAAACCAAAGAGACGACAAACCTTTTTTCTGGCCATCCCAATCACCTTTTAATGCTAAAAAAATTTAGGCAAAGTATCGACATGTTGGAGAATAGGCACAGAATTAAATGAATACTGCAGACAGTCGACGGTAGTTAATTGATGAAGATCTCACCCAGCTGTTTATTGAAAGAAGCCAGGATATTTGCTTCATCGGCATCACTGGGGAACTTACTCCAGGTCATCAACAACCCTTCATGTAAATTAAAAGATCACCTGTTCTCAGTTTTAAATACATTACCCTGTAATTTCTACTTATGTGCTTTCAAAACACTATGGCTTAAGGACATCGTGTCTGCAAAAAAATAATTATTTTAGTTGCAGAGTGCTTTACATCAGTGATTAAAAAACAGGAGAGTCACTAACCTGCATTTCTCCCTTCTCTCCAGGCTTGGCAGGTTTGGCAGCCTCTGTTGCAGCATTCTTGACACTCTCTTTGCTGCAGTGCACTAGCACCTCCACCACATAAAGAGGATCCAGGTCCCCAGTGTTGGCCTGTACCAACAGAACACAGTACCAAGATCAATCTTTCCACATATAGGGCATTTCTGTTTCCTTCCATGCCATCGAGATAAAGACACAATATGACAAAGCAGAGCAGTGGCTTCTACAATTCTGCTACCATTTTGTTTTTGATCCAAACATTTAATATTTCAGCCCAATGTGTAAGTCTCCAAACTCGCCAACATTACTCAGAATATTTTAATGACAGAATGCAAATAAAAATGTATAACACAAAAATTCCATCTTATGTTCTTATGTAAGATGCTATTCAAAATGCACAGAATGAAAGCAATCTACTGCCCTAAAAATATAAAATTACATTTAACTTTTCTTTGCGTGGTTGTTGGATCAGTTACTATAATTCTATGCCCTGACAGCAATTAACAATCATGCAAGAATAAAAGAAACCACAATGAAATATAAATTTGCAATTTTAATTTTGAATGGAGTGCACATGGACCCCAAGACATCCATACAATATAAATAATATTCCCTTATTCAATTGTTGAGCTACACCCAATTCCCACAATGCAAATGTGTTATAGCAGATATAACTGTATACTAAGTGATAAAAAACAGCATCAGTTTTTAACAGTTATCATTTACATTACACTTGATACAGACACCCATTAATACTGATACTGAGTTGAAGTGTTGTCAGTTTATTTCTGCCACTGTGATGGAAAGTAAATTGTCAATATCCTGATGAAATAAAGCATTCTGCAAGCACTTCAAATACACAATTTAGCAAGTAACATGACCATACCTTTACATTTGATTTTTTTGAGAAATTAATGACAACCCCCCATCCAAAATCATTGTCATCATTTTTCACCTACGGAAAAGCAAGAAACCAATATTATTGCATCTGTTCAAATTACAAGAATAAACAACTCTGGAATGAGATGGCATTAGCAGTAAGCAATTTAGACTTCTTGATAAAACCAGAAACGTAAATAGCTTGAAATAAGCTCTGGTTTCAAAAATGATACTTACAAATCTGAACCAGAGAGAGGTTTTAATGAAAATGTTAAAACAGAATACAGCATTAAAGAAAAAGTAATAAGAGAATTTGAATCACATAGTTCATATAGAAAGCCACTGCTATGATGGCTTCCTATCAGAATAGAAAAGCCATAAGCCGAGGTGCTGAGAGAGAATGAAATAAACAGGGTGTGCACTTCCTATTTAAAATACATTTACAAAAACAGACTGATGGTAAAATGAGAATTTATTATACATAATTTTCAAGCTTAACTTCAGCTAAAATATAAGAGTGTTTCCACAATGTTTTTGGAAGTTTGTATCATTTAGAGCCTGTTGTCCTGTTAGGGGCTTGTTAAAGGACAGATGCAATTTTCTGCTTTTCCTTCCCATTCTATTTTTATTCCTGTTTCTTATCCATACTCCTTTCCAGTAAAAAAAAATGTTCATATGGAAAACACAATGGTTTCTCTGATCGTGACCTATCACTACTGCATTGTTCATAGCTGTTGTCTTACTGTTTGAGGAACTATTGACAGAGAACCCTTCAGATGTTCCCCTCATCACTAGTGAGAGGCCTGCAGCTAATACATTAAGGTGATTCAGGGCTTAAGCAACAAAGTCACAAGTGCATTTTGGTCTGTCATAAATTATAAATTAAACACTTTGTATTATTAACCATATGATTTTTCTCAAAACACATGGATAGACTTATAAATTTAATTTCCCTTTTCTAGACTGTTTAGAACACCAACATCAGGTACCCTGATTGAAAGGTGGCACGAACCCCATAAAAGCAAACTAACTTAAATGCATGGAAGACTTAGGTGCATGTGACCTGCTGTAAATATGTTAAGTATCGTGGCTGGACAGCAAACCTCCGAAGAGGTCTGAAGAATGTCAATCAGTTAACTTTACTTCACCCTGGTGGGGCAATGCTCCTCTACACATTTTCAAAAATAGCAAATACATCCATTGTAACAGCACAACTCCCATCATGTCTAAGAACAGCGTTTAACACAACTAAACATTCTAGAATTGCAAAAGCATTGCTAGAATGTTTGCAGGATATTCTACATGACTGCATAGAATACATTCAGTATCCAGTACTACACCACATTCTGCTCCTCCTCCTTTGAAAGAATATAGACCTTCTGTAAACCTAAATTAGGTCATTCATTGGAATCATTGCACCAGAAATCTAATGGAAAGGCATTATACACTTTGACCAGAATAACAAAAGCTATGACCAAAGTATCTGTAACTATTTTACTAATGTCTCATAACTGTAGCAAAATTGTATCCCTGTTCAATTTGTCCTTTCAGGAAGGAAAAGATAGTGAATGTCCTCATCACCAAGAGCTTCTAGGTTAATTTAGGCAGATAAGGCATAATAATCTGGAGATTCTCCCAAAAAAGCATTCACTTTGGCAGCTGTGCCAAAGATGGTGGAACTAGGTCCAAACACTACTACTGTTGTTTTGGAGGAACTCTTGTTACTTTCAGTGTAGAGTGTTAATTTTTCAAGTTCCAATCAAGGCCTTTAGGAATTTTTAACAACTTCAACAAGACTAAGTTTAGTAAAGACCTCACTATTTCTGACCTGCAATGATTTATTCATCCATGAGCTACTGCTTTCAATTCAAGGTTATAATTTGAAAATGCACATAAATGTCATCTATACTTTAACCACTATACTTTCACTATGCCAGTATAAGTTGCCAGTTACTGCCTTCAGGAACACAATGAAAGTGGTACTGGTATAAAAATATGTACTACTTTATCTATAATGGTTTCAAGTGATAACCCAATAGATATCGATTAAAAAGCCAGGTCATTTGAATGAATTTATGACTATAACAGTCTTAAATAATACATATTTCATCATTACCTGAAATATATATATATATTTCTGTAGATTGTACCCCATCACCAGCTTTCAAATTCCTATAGCTAAGAGTTTCAGAGGTTGTTAGTCTCCCAGACTTTTCTTCACTAAATTGTGTGCATTTTCAGACGCATTTCTAAACATTTCTCCAATTCATTAATTGTTCCCACCCTGCGCAGATACTTGTCCATACATTTCACCGCTGTGCACTCTTTCTGATAATTTACTGCATGTTTAATAGGTCACCAAAGGTCAGAGAGATAGCCTTTTTTTGGAAAGCCCTGCCAATTTCTTTAGGCCATGAACTGCCCATGTATTATTCGAGTCACCCTTGTAAAATAATTTGTATCGGACTCTCAGATTAGGGTCTTCAAAAGTCCCTAACACTGTCACTTCCCATCATTCAACATTTTCCAAATATAAAACAGAATTTTGCTGACCTATTTTAATACACATAACTCATTCAATTATCTCTAAGATCTGTTAAAAATCAAAATGAGAAAATAGCTTTCATATGCGCATATGGGCAGCCACAGCTGTACCAAGTGCCATCTCCCTGCCCAATCTATTAAACAAAATCCTTTTATTTATTATACTCTTCTGGTTTGCATTATGAATAAGGGATCAGTAACTAAATAATTCTCAAATATTCATGTCTACGATTTCTTATTCATCACAAAGTATTAAAAATAAATGTCATAATGCCACATTCTACATAAAGGCAAGGGAAGATAAACAGGAAAGATGTGACAGTGTCCAATTTCATCCATCTTCAGTCATTCTTAGGGGATACCGATAACAAAATGGGTCATAGCGGGTAACACTGCCAAAGAATGCAGAAGCGGAACTCTTCATCTTCGTAAGCTTATTATATTACATGTTTTAACAGACTGGAGCCATCTTGAGCTTCAGTCTAAATTGAAAAACCTTTGGGTGATATTTGATTCTAGCTTAAGATTCGACCCACATGTGCAGCATATTGTCAAAACATTGTTTCTTCACCTCAGAAATATCGCTAGACTACAGCAAATGTTATCACTAACTGTGGCTGAAAAGCTGAACAACACATTTGTTCTCTCGAATTGACTATTGTAATGCTCTACTCGCTGGGGTATCTAAATCTACTTTTAACAAACTGCAGTATGTCTAAAATTCGGCAGCCAGAATCCTGACCAGGCCTAGTGCAACTGATCACATTACTCCTATCCTGGAGTCCTTGCACTGGCTTCCTGTCAAATTCCATGTGGACTTTAAAATCCTCATGCTTACCTATAAGGCACTGCATGGCTTGGCACCTCAGTACTTGTCTGAATTATTATTGCCCTTCTCCCCACCTCGCAACCTTCCCACTTCTAAGAACAGAACTGAACCCAGGGACCCAGCGCTGCAAGGCAGCAATGCTAACCACTGTTTCTCCATGCCTCCTTGGATATAACACCAGACAAGATAAAATACTCCATTAATATCTCAGTCAAAGTGCTACAATTGAAGTAATAAATGATATTACAGCGCAGAAAAAATAAACTCTAAAAGCAGATAACCACAACATCTTAAAATAAGAAAATTGTTGAATATTTTAAATTGTCAATTTTATATTTATATTGCATCCTAAATACATGCACATATGAAAATGATGAACCTTCCTTTGGTAACTGAAGACTTTGAGAAAATGCAAATGATCTGGATTTAAGTTAATTGTTGACACATTCTTTGAAAAATTAAAGACGAAATGTATCAAATGTAGGATTCTAACTGTTCCTACTTTCTAATATCAATTAAACACTACTGACTTAACATCTGCTGTGAATTTCTATATACCAGGATTTAAATGGCTTGCAAAACAAATCCAACATTCCTTCCATCAAACTCTTTTGCAGCGTACTGCAACTAATATTTTAGTGGACAATCCTTTATTAAAGAGTTTACAAAATGTGAACTTTATGAATTGTAACATTTTGTTGCTCCAATAAATACATAGTATTTAAGCTACATAGTAAATTCTGACATTTAGTATATTGGGGCTGACAAAGTAAAATCTGGGTGGGGCTGACATTGTTATTGTTGCTCCAATATACTAAATGTCTTAATTTAGTCCAGTGGTGAATGGACAGTGGTGATTATGTATGTAATACATAGTAATGTATATTAAATACTAACAAACCAAAGAACACTTCAAATATATTTCTTGGTAACTGGTCACAACATCCTGTGAGTAAAATGTAAATTTTTATTTCAACCTTTATATTGAATAACATAAATAAAATATAATAAAGTATCTCCTGTATTACAAGTGAGGGACATACAGCTTGTCTGTATGTGGTTTAACTCATTAAAGGAACTCACCCCTGTAACTATACATGATATTTGTGGCTATAGCTGTGGCTACAAAATTTTGGGTAAAAACCACACTGTTTATTAAGGTTCAAGAAGTAGTCAGCAGACTGACTAAATTTACAGCAATGACAGGCTGTAATTGGGCTTACTTTGACCAGTCTCCCAGGCTGCAGAAAGGGCAAGCAGTACTTGGGTTTATGAATGTACTCTTCAATCTCCTTTCCAAGCTTGGCCAGCTGTTGGCGAATTTTGTAGTAGGTAACCACACTTTCTTCATTAGGGATTTCAATCTCATTATACAGTCCTTCCAGTTTCTTCATTTCTGCAAAAAGCGGACCAAGTTAATAAAACACATAGAATTTCTAACCACTTCATCCAATTCAAAGCTGGGGGTGAGTGGGGGGGTTGGAGAAAGAAACAGGTGCAAGGCAGGCTACTTCCTGAATGGGATAACAGTCCATCAAAGGCACATGCCTGGATAAGATTTTAAGATAAATTAGCTGCTAAAATCCAAAGGGGCTATTTGACTACATAATCATTAAGTTCTTTAATAACCACTTCTCCAATTTAGGTTTTGGTGATCCCGAGCCAATCCCAGCAAGCACTGAGCACAGGGCAGGATACACCCTGGACGAGATGCCAGTCCTTCACATAGCACAAACACCATGACCATTCTTCCAGAAGCCAGTTAACCTACCACTATGCTGCTGAACTGTTGGAAGAAACCCACATTAACACATAGAACATACAAACTCCACACAGATAGCACCCCAAGTCTGAAATGGAACCCAGTGTCCCAGCTGTGCCACCATGCCTCCATAATGTTCCAGTTTTTTTTATCAAGAGAATGCTGAAAATACAAAATTCAGACTGGGAAAAATATCAGGGTGCAAGAGAACCGTTTTGCTTTTCTATCAAAATTACTGCTTTTTGAGAGGCAAGAATTTGGATAAATTTTGTATCATGGTTTATCCACAACATGCGGAATGTCAAAGAAATTAAACTTACAACTTCACCTGTACATGCTGACATTTCATCAAAAGGGTATGCAAAAGAATATTGTATATTCAAGCTTTTAGGTATATAATATTATAATTCAAATATACGTATGTTCCAAGACTACTTCTGTATTCAATTTACTTCGAATGTCAGTATTGGCTACATAATAACTACTGCTAATAAAGACTGACACTTACTATCCACGACCCCTGGGACAGCTCTGTAGTGCTGAAACTGGTAGAAAGACTTCTCCAACATGTACTCTGGATTGATCTCTTCAACACGCAACAGGTTAAGGACCATGTTATAAGTGAGATGGAAAGCACTGTTGAGAGGATCAGCAGAGCCCTGGAAAAATAAAGCATATCTTTAGATGATGTTCTAAAAAAATGAAAACAACTTTTGAGCAATTAAGTGTTGTATTCACTTAGACATGTGGATGAGATACTAGAATTACAAAAACAGCACAAAAAATGGATGGTCCTCCAAATTATTATGTGGTTGTTTTAGTGCATATCTATGTTTTCTGTGCCATCTTCACAGCAAAGCAATTAAACTGTGTCCAGCAGCACACAAAAAAACTAATTCTAGAATGTCACAGTACAGTGACTGAAATGAGTGAACAGAAATGACCAATAAGGCTTTTTGACAACATTCTTTTCCTCCATAGTGCTTGATTAGTTTCATATCCAAAGAATCAGTGCATTTCCTGGAATCAATGAAAGAAACTGCCTTCATTTATGAAGGACATCATTACTAATTCTGAAAGATCAAATTAGTCCAGTTAGTTCAATGGCTTCTTACTTTTTATTTAATGACTTAGTTTTAAAGCTACTAAACCAATAGCAGGACTGTTCTCTTATCACATATGGTCACATTTCTTGCCTCTTTCAGCAGCTGAGCAAGAGATGGAATTTTTAAAATGTTTTAATGTAAGTAGGTGGCTTTAAAGGCTTCTTTGTAGGCATCCTTTTTTGTAAACTCAAAACTAATTTGTTTTCACTGCTAGAAGTATTTTACTACTCTGTGAGGTAGTCTCTCCCTGCAAGTTTAGTAAAGTATTTTCAAGTTAGCAGCATAGGAAGCCCTTTGAGATATATAGGGGTAGCTTGCACACCAGATATCTGGGCTCAAGTAGCATGAAAGAAGGAAAGAGTCCAACTTATCAAGAGTCTCACATGCATAGACATTGGTTTAACTCAAAACCTATAAAACAGAATTTCTAAGGACTCATAAGAGAACACTGTTTCACCACATAATTCTAAATTTGATTTGATTATAAAAAAAGCATTATTCAATTTGAAACCACATTGTAAACAAAAACATTTTTTAAACACCAATTAAGCACTACAGGATAGAAACATGAACTTAGGTGGTGATTTTGTATACAGACTTCAGATTCGATGATGAAATACACAATGGAATTCACCATTTATTAATTACATTCTCTACTAAAATCTCTGGTTAAGAATTGTCACCATGATCAACAACTCCTATAGTTCATCACGTAGTATTTTATTTAACCCATACAAACTTCCAATAATTGGTAACCAAGATGACTTTCAAGCTATTGTCTACACTACAGATAGGATGCCTAGCGGCAAAACAGACTGAAGAGATGGAATGAGGCACGGGATTCAACATCAGAGCTCAATTCATTTTTCTTAAACTACATTCACTCATTAAATGAGTTCTCAGAATTAACAAAACTAGTTTAATTTTATTTTAACTCAGTCCTTTCTTTTTCTAGTGGAATTAGTTTTCAATGGCAAGTTTTAAGTTGGTTTGTATCATATCTGTAGAAAAGCCATTAGGCTGGAAACCTTGTAGCTGGTAGGGGATGAGAGCTATTAAAAGCATGCGAGTCTGCAGAGCATTGGACCTGGTAACACAGGAAGACAGAAATAAAAAGCCATGGGTAAATAAACAGCTACACAAAAAATGATTTCACCCAGTCTACTTTCCTTAGATCTAGAAGGATTAAGGATAAGCAATTATTTTCCCTTTAATGCTGTATGTATTGGATTATTATATTTTTTGTATTTTTGCTATTTATTTTTTTCCTATTTAGGACTATATCAAGCCCTTCTGCTGAAATGGGTTTGAGGATCACTACCGGAGGAAAAATTTTCCAAAACCTTTGTGTTTTTTTGTTAAAAATAACTTTACTTTAGTGTTGTTGTATGTACATGCCTGGAAACAGTCCAAGATCAATAGTCTGAAGATTAAAAAAAGATTCAACTGCATTACATTTCCATCTTTTGTGGTTATGTTAAAAGACACCTGTGAAGTCTTTATTTTCTCTATAACGTTAAGCTTTGAAAGAGCTGAGGAGTATTATCAATTGATAACGCTTATCAATCAATTGTTGTCAATTACTCTTTGTGTTCTATATTTTTAGAACTTTAGTTACTGCGCCTTTACAAAACAGAAATATGTGGGACATTAGTGTAAGCCAAAGCCTCTTTTTTGTTGCTTAACATCTGTATCTTTTTGTACTTGTCTGTTTTGCATTCTCTTTTCCATTTAATTCTCTTTAGAATAAAAAGTGCAAATGAATGTTTAACTGCACATTACCTTCTAAAAGTGAGAGTGAGTGTTTAAAGGCAAGGTTTTGTTACTGAGTCCTAGCAATGACTTATAATCAATTTATAGTATGTTTATAATACTTATCTGGCACCACTGGCTCTTTTGGGTCTCAATGTGTGTATTTATACTGCACCTCTGTACTTATTGTCATGAGTGTAATCTGAAAACAGGCTTGATTTTTACTAAAACAAATCTTTCTGAATGGTTTGGAACAGTAACAACTATTTATCTTTACAAAATATTGAGAAAGAACATTTCCCACAGCCATGAAATTATGAATGGGGAATCATTAATAATAAAAACAATATTTGGATGTGCTCTGCTTCCCTGGTACCTTTCTAAGAAGATATACAAAATTCACGACTTTAAAACTGCCATGGGATTTCCAATTGAGTAAAACAAAACAACAAATATGTGACTGACCAGAGTGCTCCCAAAGAAAAATTGGCAGCTAAAAGGATACACAAACAATACACACAATACTCCCTCTTGCACGCAAAAGCATTCCAAAATATTGACCTTTAAAGAGCCATTTAATCCTCAAGGAACATTTGGCATGTTGTGTTTCTCAACATAAAACCTCAGCTAATGAAAGCTGGATAAGCTGTTGATTTGCAAGCCTTTAGCTAGAAGTATTACTCTAAATCCTGGAGAGGTCCCAAACAATATGGGGTACATATCACTAAAGAGAAAAATGCTCGGCTAACATACCGAGTTTGTATAATATATTCAATTTAGTCAAATGTAGTTCAGCAGTTTCCAATCTGTTAGTAACAACCCTTGGCTCATGACACCCATGTAAAAAAGGAACATCTAACAAATACTGAAGATCTGCCAAAACTAACTTCACATTTTCAAATATCAAAAAGTGCAGGATTTTAGTTAATTTACTCCATGGAATGGAAAAACTCACTTATGCAAAAGACTACTTTGCACAATAATGTTTTTTTATCCCCATCAACGTTTCTTGTGATATGGAATTGCTCCAGCCTACCATCGTTAATGCAAAGTAGGGGAAATTGCTAGCAGTCCTCCCAAGAGCACTTGGTATTGGTTTAGCAGCCCCATACAGAGGCACAGTGAGGCCTGCAAATCATCAATTTTTTTTCATCTGACAGGCTAAAAAAAAAAAACTATATACACACTCTGAATTATGAAACAAAAAAAAAGCATCATGGCAAATACTCTTGCCAAGGCATTTACTCCAGTTAAGCAACAAGCATGGCTTCAGAATCTGACTCTTTGAGAGCAATCTTTGAGGGAATTATAGGGTGAGTAATAAAGATGTTTAGGCATGGTCATATTACTGTCACCATTACACCATCTTAGCTGGTTTTGTATGAAATTAATTATAATTGGTCATTATTAATAAATTCAAGAAATTTGTTTCACCTTGAGAAGCTGTTTTCCCACTGTAGGGCTCATCTTTTCATCAACCATGAAGATGACAATTCCTCGTTCATCCATGCCTCGCCTGCCAGCACGACCAGACATCTGAATGTATTCACCTGATGTTATCTTTAAAACAAAGGAAGAACCTATGAGACTGGGATGAGATGGAAAATAATATAATATTTTTTGCTTTTAAATAAATGTATTCTACAATGCAAGTGTTAGTATTTAACACAGCACTGCAATGCAAATACAGATTCCCCAAATGCTACAAGAAGTGTAAAGAGAAACTCAGAGGCGAGGGCCCACATTAGGGCACTCTGACAGACGCACGTATACTGAAGTTATACTTTGCAATAAAACTCACATATAGTTCCCATTAACTTAATTCTTCAAGACTCACAGTAATCATTTGACATCGCATATATTTAAACAACCCTGGTAAGGTGTAATCCATTCTAGGTTTTGATCTAAAAGCCACACATTTAAAATCGTATTTAGTAATTAATTTATGGAGAAGGAAAAGGCACACTAGATCAAATCCCAAAATATTTTTCCTTTGTTGGAAAAGGAAGTAGTACTTGAAAGCATGTTTTTAGGCATGTATCAATTCCAGATGTGAAGCAGCAAGATTAAGGACTATAACTTTTCTTGGAGGATGTTATTGTACTTCAGCTAAAAAGTTTCAAAATAAGGTCATTCATCATAAAAGCTTAACTTATGGATTATAAATAAACATTACGCAACCTTTTCACCACTTTTGTTTTATAGCATATCCAAAAAACTGGTACTAAACAAAACAAGAGTACCATACATAATAAGTTTAATCAAGAAAAAGTCAAACCACATTTTTAAAAAACTATTTAGATGCATTTTGAATGTGCTTTAAATAAACGGTTATTTTAATTTATGTAAGAGCAGGTCAAATTACTTATAAAGGACTTAATACCTTATTTACGCAAATATAACCCACTACTGAATATAAGCTGCACCCAGTAATTCAGACTGTAGATATTGAAAAGATAACTTTTCATAGCACAAGCTACCTTTCTAAATAGAAGTGGTTGAAATGAAAAAAGCTCTTGGTTTTAAAGAAAATAAAAATGGAGGGGAGTTTACAAGTAATACAGCAAGCTCCCTCATTTCCAGAAGATATGAGGATTTTTCGGATAGATAAGATTAAATCAAATTGGCTATGCAATGTCACCTAGTCTAAAGCAAAATGATTAGGAAAACACCACAATGATGAAACTCATTCCTCCTCATTACAGGAATTACAGTTTCCTAGCAAACTGACACTTTGAATTCTGGAACTACAATGTTTAGCTCAGGGGACTTTAAGCTTTATCCACTGTTGTGACTGCGAATCCACTCCAAACTGCCTACCAGCCTGATGATTCCCGTGCTATTCAGCACTCACTTCCTTCTTGAATTTAAAAGAACACTGCGAGTTCTTGCTCATTTCAGGTAACTAAAAATGAATATAATTTTTCACTCAACTGCATAAACACACCAGAACCAATCAAAATGGTGGGCCGTTACAGCAAGCTCAAACAGCTGAACTCAGTTCAGCACTTCAGTACAGAACTTTTTTTACTTGAATTTGAATATAAGCCACAGGACAGCTATATCAACCTGAAAGAATGTGCTGCTAATATTTGGGTAAATACATTCACAATACAGAACTCAAAATAATACCAAAATAAACTTTAAAGGTAAGGAAAATTCTCCTTCGCTTACCCAGCGGAAATCCTTCCCATCAAACTTGCGGGCACTCGTGAACAGCACTGTCCTGGCTGGCATGTTGATGCCCATGGCAAATGTCTCTGTGGCAAACAATGCCTAGAAAAACACATCACAAATGATAAATACCACTAGTTCCACTACTCAGAAATATTTTGTATCTTTAGCACTTAAGAACTTACTGCACTTCATTTAATTAGGGTAGAATTGTTTACACGGTAGGCTGAATGGTTTGACAGTCAAAGTAAAAGCTGTTGATGTGATCTAAATGAACTTGCATTATCAGGAAGTCAGGAGGACCATAAACTTTCACTATGCATTTTTCTGAGTCGCTTGTATACCTCTCTCTACAAATCTTTGTTATATATACATAAACAGCAGTAAACTAGCTCTCAGATGACAAAATTATGGCTTCCAAAAATATATATAAATATTGTTTCATGTGCAAGTACATCTAGTCTTACTGTACAATGCCAAAAAAATAGTTTAACACTTGACAGAAATTATGTCTTACCATGATACCTTTGTATAATCTAAACAGGTCTTTTCTAAAATAACTAAAGGGTCTATGTTTACCAATTTTAAGTGTTTTGAGAAATAATAATACATGAAGAAGGAAAAAATATTGAGAATCACTATATATTAAATAGTAAGTAAATCCTTGGGGTACTTAGCCCAATTAAGTGGGTATTTTGAATCGACAACTAAATAATCAGGTAACTAACAAAATAAATATGAGTTTGGGCAGCCCCGTCTAACAATAGATTTAAGAGGACCTTGGAAAAGCAGTAGGTGAAGCTCATCAATCGGGAGGTTACAAAACCACTTCTCAACATTTGAGGCTTTATCAGACAGTCCACAAATGGAAAATATTCAAGTTCACAGTCACCCTATCCAGGAACAGTCATCTTGCCTAGACTTCCTCAAGAGTAACTCAGAAAACCCAGAAATCACAAAATACCTAAGAATAACATATGATCTATATTATAAGATCTAAGGATCAGGCCTCTCTCACTACAGTCAATGTCAATATTTATGGCTCAACCATGAGTAAAAGATTAAACAGGAATAGTTTTCATGGGTAAATAGCCAGGAAGAAATGACTGCTTTCTGGAAGGACACTGCCACTTGTCTCTAATTTGCCAAATAGTACCTGGATGGTCAACAAAAGAACCCGAAATACGCTTCTTCGCTTCCTACACTGGCTTTGTCCCGGACCTCTACAAGCGATTCACTGATGACTCTGTCAGTGTTGCCACATGCTATAATGACCAACTAGAGCATTTTCTGCATCACTTCACCAACTTTCACACATCCCCCAAATATACAATTAACATATCCTCTGCTACTCTTCCGTTTCTAGGCATAAACCTATCAATTAACCATCCCTGACTCTCCACTTCGGTTTATTACAAACCCACAGATTCACACAGCCATCTTCTGTACAGCTCGTATCACCCCAAACACACTACAAAATCTCTCCCTTTTTCACAGGTCCTTCGGCTACGACGACTCTGCAGTGATGACATCGATTTCCAGAACCAACCACTCAAAATGCACTCTTTTTTTCCCCCCATCAACAGAGGATACCCCACCTGTATTATTTACAGGGCCCTCACCAGAGCCATAAACAGTCCTCGGACTATCAACTCAATCAGGAACTCCCAGGTTAAGAACTGCATTCATCTGTTGCTTCTGTCTTTTTTGACTTTGTAATGCAAAGATGGCCAGTTATGGGATACAATAACAAATCCCATACAAATGCAACAACATACAAATGTTTAGTTATTTTGTAAATACTAGTACAAATGTACAAAATGATATAATCGGTATTATTCTTAATGCGTATGGATTTCAATCCAATGCCAGTTGAATGACCAGAATTATAAATTCAAATCAGAAGACTTGTTAAGTAGACCCAGCTTTCTTTCTAATGTAAAGCATTTTTGTTAAAAACAACTCATCTATATGAAGTCTACCAGTACACCCAAAAAGAACAAGTTAAAAAAAACAGCTTTTGCAGCTATTTTAGGAATTTCATAAAGAGAAAAGAATTCCTGTAAAATAAAGAGTTCCAATAAAATTTAAACTGACACTTACCTTGAGCAACCCTTCAGAGAAGAGAATCTCAATTGTCTCCTTCAAAATAGGAAGCAGGCCCCCATGGTGAATCCCAATTCCTCTCTTCAGAAGAGGCAAAACATGTTCAACCTTTAAAAGCAAAAAGCACACAACTTTTAAAAATCCAAACAATGGGGCCTTCTAAGTGGCTCAACTGGTAAAGGCACCCGCCTGAGTGCGGGTTGAGCTCTATGATCCAGGTGTCGTATTCAGAAAAGCTTTAGGTGTCACAGTTAAAAGTCATCTCCTCCATGCCTTCCGTGAACATGCAGAAAAGCTTCAGGCACGTGGAACTCATGGGACACGTTCATGTATGTCAGAAAGGGAGACACTAAAGATCACTTATTAAAGATCACTTTTGGAAATGCATCCAAAATGAAAACACTACACTTGGTTAAGACAATGAAAAGAAAACTTCAAATGCAACTGCTGATAATGGACAATATTGGACAATAGAATAGCCATAATACAAAATACTACAGATTATTGAATGACCATGCACTGCTGAGAGTGGGTTGGGTGGGAATAAATGTGGTGGAGGCCTTTTGTGTAAAGTTGCAGGGTTCACAGCCATGAAAATAATGGCAATTCCAAAATTGAGTGGCTAAACACACAACAATAGGGAATTAGGGACTGATTTCTGCATGCTTCAATTCATCTGTTAATGAGAAATGTCCACAATTCTTTGCAACTGACTTAAAACAGAAAACTAAGCAAAGAGGAACAAGCTGAGACAAGGTATTTTCAATATGTTCACCTGGAAGCTGTAGTTGAATCTACGTCTTGTAATATTAAGTTTCAAGTACTGTTTAAACACAGGTTCCATCCTTCAGTTATTTGAAAGGGGTAGAAGTCAATCAAAAGGAAAGCACATTAAAAGATGGATAACAAAAAAATAATCGGGAGGGGAGGTAAATAAAGCAGTCATATAATAAATAAGAAGCCACAAAACTATTTCTGTTTTTTGAGTATCTTTGATCTTGGCATGATGGTCATTACAACAATGTTCACAGGACAGAATAGAATGTAACAAGACAAACTGTTCTGGGTCAAATATCCTGACTGCCTTGAGAAATCAGAGTTGGCTGAATAAAACAGATCTCTCTTAATTGGGTTGAAATATGTAGTCAGTCTTTCAATAACTGCACTTAAGGTTTTAAAATGGTATGTTAATGTTCAGTGCACATTAGCTCCTCCTCCTGTATGTTTAGTAAAATCTAACTTCATAACTTCCAGACCACTATATGACATCAAACTCTTACCATGCATCACAAACAGTAAAAACTGAGCTTCTGACAAAGTTAAAAAACACATATTTGCATGGTGGCAACATGCTTGTCTGGTTTCGGCAAGTCATCTTCCAACATGTTATTCAGAAGGGCTAATACATGAGATTTTAAACAACCAGAATTTCATAAAAGTCCCAAAAAAGGTTCTTTATCAAATTACTTGCATTACCTTTGGCAAACCTTGCCATTTTTTTAAATCCACTTCAAATACATTTAAACATTTCAAAATGCCTTGTGTCACTAAAGAGTACCGAGAGCAGATAAACTACAACCCCTAGGATAACAGTCATTTCACAGATACTGTATTGTCTTTGTAAAACAAATGTGCATCTGTTGTTATAACTGTACAGATGTTAGATGATGTTAGATGTTTACATCATTTCCTTAAGTTGTTTGTCAGCTGTCAGGTGTAAAATCTCTTTTCTCAATTGACTTTATAAAGAACATTCCCCTTTATTCATTACGTTTACTGAGTAAAGTACATATCGTGGGATGGTCAACCTTTTCCAGGAAATATCTGCACAGGCCAATGCCTGCCAAATCCTAAAGTAAAGCACGACAGGGTTCCAAGTTCCTTTTTAATTGTTTATCTCAGTACCTGCATTTTTTAAATGTTAATATAATATCTTTTAATATTTTAATTTTTTGCACAATAAAACGGTTGGTGGAAGGTAGTTGCACTTGTTCACTTAATGAACTGCTTTTGATGTAGCTTGTACCATTTTTAATTTTCTTCATGTTTTTATGTAATAGCATGAATGTATTGGTTTTTTCCAACTAGTTGATCTTTCAATTAGAAACTAGTTTCTAACTGAATGCAGTTCCTGTGCTGATTCCCCAATATTTGTTGAGACTGGACTGCATAAAGCTAAAAGGAACACCTGGAGGACAATGACTGAATGATAGTTTAGGAGGTCAAGACAATCTTCAGACCATCCATATATATTTTCCACTGTAGTTCTGGTACCAACACAAAATACATTTTTGGAAAAGAATGTTTAAATTGTAAGCCTATTTTGGTCAGGTTTTGTATTACAACATTCCATTTATAGAACATTTAGAGAAAAGCATTCAATAGCTCTGTTTTTTTAAATACCAGGGCACATAATATGGTCATCTCACACAAAGGTTCACAAAAATGTTTGCCAAAGATATTAAGTGATACTCTTAATACTATTTAGAAAACCATGATTTTTCAACAAAAAGTAATACCTTGTGTGCTTATTGTAGGAGTACTTACTTGTGGAAGTTTCTTGTCTTCATCAGAGAGACAATCAATAGCATTATTAAAGACCTCCTCAACAAGCTTCTTCTCCTCCTCTGCAAAACAAAAGCATTCCACTCTTAAAACATACAAAACACATTTCCAAAACCTTAAATGTAATTATGCTCCAAGCTGAAATTGCAGTGCAAAAACCTGTTCAGCTCCTTAAACTATTACATCAGAGGCGTAGGTTTAAATGTTATTATGTGTTAGTATACTAAGAGTCAGTCTAACAGTCTATGACAGAACTCAAGTTGAAGATCCAGGTCTGATGATAATGACATCATTAAACCTTTGTAAGTAAAGTACAGCTTTACAAAATCATTCACTAACTCCTCAAATAAAAGGGATTGAAGAATTAAAAATTGATGACCTCAACAAATAATAGCAAAGTCTTATTCTCTGGGCAAAACAACAAATGCCTTTTTACATTGTTTACAATTGTACAAGGACTTTAGCGATAGGTTTGCCAATGTAAATGTAATTTGGAAATAGGCAAACTGCATATCCAATGACTGAACCAGGAAGACTTTGAAGTGGCAATCTGAAAGCATGCCTTTCTTCCTGTGTGCATTATGTCATAACTACAGGATGCTGTTTCAACTGTTAGAAGGCAAATTTGAAAAGCAGACATTGAGTTTGCAGCTACTTGGTAGAAAAGAACATTTCACTCTATCTTAAGAAACTTCTAATAAATATTTAAACCATTTCCTTGGGATTAAACAGTTCTGCTATTTGAAAGATAAAGAAATCTTATGGTATTTTTGTAATGTATACTTTCTAATCGCTTAACCATTACCAATTAAGCAAAAAAACAGTGATGTGACTAAGTGAAATAAACTAAATAGGGGAAATTAAAAGGATATGGTAGGGGAAATTAAAATATTAGCCAAGAGGTTAAAGGAAAGCACAGAAGCATTTTGAAAACTGGAGATGTTTTAGAAGATTTGTCAGAGTGATTTAAAAAAAAAACACAGAAACTAGAATCACAGGAAATACATGTAAATTGAGTGAAGTTGGGCAGCAGGACACTATACACGCTTTTATTGCCCTGCAGAGTGGTGGGATTGGGACCTCGGCATATGGCAGTAAGCCATAGTACAGCTGGTGCTACAAAAGGGGGATGTGAGGTTTGAAAAGACTGAGAAAACATTTCCTCTCGCTTTAGCTTCCATTTCATCCAAAGTTAAAATTCACATTTCTGCAGTCTTTATAAAAGACACTTAAGTAAACCCTTACTATATTTTGAAGCTCCCTTTGGATCCAAAAAATACCATGTGTTACACTTCAAGCTAACAATATGATCGGTGGCCATTAGAAAACACGCTTCGAGAACAAACATTGCAAAACTGTCAGAAGTTTCATAGATTACTGAATGAAGACAGAGATTTAAACATAAGCATAAACTCAGTTTAAATAAATTCCAGAAGATAGGCAGGTACATATCTACAATATACAAGTTGGGAAAGGTTACTTTGTCCATTAGATAAGTATATGCATGTTTAACTGAAACACACAATTCATGATTGATCATTAAACTCCTGGTTCAAAGGAAGATAAAAAATGATTCACAAGAGAGAAACACTACTGATGGAAACGCCCAACAACAGACCCATTACTCTCGACTCAACGGATTGTTCCAGGCTTCAAAATAAATTTCTTTTAAAAACAGTATTGTTGTATCCTCTGGAAATTTAAAATTATAATAAGGCTACAGCAAATTCTTGATTTTTTTTTTCCTATAAAAGCATGGGCTACTAAATATTGAACAAGAGCTAACAACTAAACTCCTAGAATTGAATTAATCTATAGATTACTGCATACATAGGATAAAAACAGTTTGACATTATAGATATACAATGTATGAACATAGCAACTCAAACAAATTTTAGCTCAACAGCATATACCATTGAGTCAAACACGAAAGTTTCAGGAAACCTCTGAGCCCACATAAAATCCACCTTACTTAAAACCTTTAAACAGGGAAGAGGAAAATCAATGCACACAGTTCTATACCTCAGCACTACGCTCGCATCCAAAATCTGCATATTCATTTTCTAAAAAAAACGTACTCACATTGATATACATTTCTTCCCATGTTCTGTGTATATTGTGTACCTTTTAAGGTGCAAAAAAGCAGTTTTGGGATTTAACAGCAGCAAGCAATCAAACAAATTTGAGGTTTAACAACAAAGTAAATAAGTTGTCTCCAAAGACAAAGATCGGAATGTGGTTGATTGTTTTGAATTATGTAAACCATACTGAAGAAAGTAATTCACCAATTAATAAATATATATATAGGTCTTTAAGAACACTTTTCTGAAACATTTTTCTTCAGGTTTCTTTAACATTTCAAAAATCACAAAAGCCCAGTTAGAGCTAGTCCTACAAGCAGACATACTAAGAGGCTCAAACTTCTTACATCATTCCATCTGGCAAAAACCTGACACCTTCTCTCTAAAGAGACTACTAATATGCTGGGACTGAGGCAGAGCACAAACTACATTGCCTGGCAGTGCTCTCTGCCAAAAGAAGGTCCACAGGAACAAAGGGAGAAAAGGAAAAAATTATCTTCACCACTTGTCACAAAACTTGAATTTCTGGATTGAATTAAAATAAAGAAAAATAGTTAAAAGTCCAAAGAATGCAAAATGTGACTGACAGATGCCATGTCTGTTAAGTCATTCTTTATAGGTCTATAAACACTCTAAAGAAACAAAGCAAGAAAAAGAAGCACAGCGGGAGAGAAGGACAACTGCAATTCATTACAGAAAAGCTGCATGTGGCAAAATATTTTGAACTGGCTTTAGCACTATCTGGGTCACACAGTATTATAAAACTACTAATGGAATTAAGCAAAAAAGGACTACATTCCATTAAGTCTAAAAATGCAAGCTGTTCAACCATTCCAAAACACTGACAGAAAAAACATTTTCTGCCATTTCAATTGGATAACACATAAACATACATTTAGTATATCCACTCTTTCTATGCCATTCCTAAAAATCATTTCTTTACAAGTCTTTACCTTTATTATTCATCCAACTGCATAAGGTTACAAGGGTTGGGAAATTGCCATCTTTAAAATCCCTCCTCCAAGTACTGTACATATCCCTTGTTCCCATTTGTTATAAATCATAATTAGACTCTGTTGGATGTGAGGAAAATTAAATCAATACAACTTAGGGGCAACTTACAGAAATCTAGAATGTGCCAGTGCAAAGCCTTCCTGTCAGGAATAAGCTGTAACTGTACAGCTAGAGGAGAGAAAACCTTTTGCTCCTGCTGGCCCACTATCAAGTTCAGCACTTTTATTAGTTTAAAAAATGTTCTTGTTAGTGAAACTTGAAAATAAGTCTGTTGCAAAGTTTAATAAAGCTCTTCATCCGTGGTCTTAATACAATACACAGTTGCACTCCCAGTTGAACTATTTTTATCTAAGGTGCAAAATTAATATTTCACTTTTCATGAATGTCACTAGTTCTAATCCTTACAATAGCACAGGAGTTTGTTAAAAAAAATGGAAAATGATCTTTCATGAACATGAACAGTACCTTGCAAAAGTATTCAGACCCTTGTGCATTTTTTAAATGTTCTTGCTTTAAAGCTTGCAATTATGACACATGAAAGAAAAAGTAAGTTATATACACAATATAGTCCACACATTCAAAAATAAATGAATATGAAAAAAACTTAATTATAAGTCTTAGGCTTACAAAAATACCTTAACAAATCAGACAATTAGTTGAGTTACTTCTATCTAATTGCAGTGTGAGAGGTTCCAGTCAGGAAGTGAATTTCAAGCAGACATCCAGAAAAAGAAAAGAGCTCTCAAAAACAACTCAGAGATAATATTAATTAGAAGAATGGTATAAAATAAAGATCCTTAATATTTCTTTAAGCATGGTGCTTCCACTAAATGTTTAGATCCATGGATTCAATAATAAGGCCATCAACATATTCCAGTTTTGTTTTTTTGTCATTTAATGTCATTTATCTTACCCCTTAGATGTGTTCGGTTCAAGCATTCCAGCCCTGAATGGAATATTATGTTATATAAACTGTTATGGTTATTTTATAATTTTACAAAATGGAAGCCCACTGGAAGGGTCTGAGTACTTTTTCCAAGACACTGGATTAGGATCTGCAGAAAAATTCATTCATTTAAGTGCTCAGGCTTTATTGGAGAATGAGAACAGTCTGTGCCACTTGGCAGGTGGAATACTGGCTGAACAGCACCAGGACCAGGAAGAGAACACAACCAAAGATTATATCGCTAAAGGGCTATTCAACTGCAATAAAGTAACTAGCAGCTGGCCTGAGGAGCCACATTACAACTTCAGCATGGAGTATTTGTCCATTCCTGACAGAACAGAACATTTCTTGTAGTTGGAAACTGTCTAAGATGCAGTGTGGAAAGAACCAAGAATTAGAAACAAGCAAGTGGCTATAGTTTCAACAGGTCTAGAATAGCTATCAACAAAAAGCTCCAAAACATGAGATATCTTTAAAAGTGATTCCGTAAATGTATCTTCATGTGGAACAATTAGTGTTTCCTACTAAATCTGTTTTCAGTCCCGTAATCTGCACTATATATAGATGGCTTCATATCAGTCCAGTGTTTTTTTTTCCATTTTTGTTATAACCATCACAATAATTCCATTTGGTACTGTTTTCTCTTTTACCAGTGCCCTTTGAGAACCATTTTCCAAAGTTAACAGATAAGGTTGAGTCAGACTCGTTTAACAGACTTTCCAATTGGGTTATGTCCAGTAAAATCCACACTGTATTTAACACCCAAAAACATACACAAATCAATGTTTATTCAACAGACTAAACAAAACTAAATAACTTATATGACTTATATTCTCAAATTAACATTTCCATTATACTTTTCAAGTGACTTCCCAAATTTATCACAGCCAGGGAAGATTTTATCGATGCCATTTATATTAACCTTCCTGTGAAGCCACACAAGTTCACAATACTTTTGTTGGACTTTTTCCTACAAGCCCTAATGAGTCAAACAATTTTTACAGATGCATGTTTCAGGCCAAACCAAACCCTTAACACCATATTGTTCTTTCTGTCCCAAGGTAGAATGTAATCTAGAAATAACAACATCAGAAATGTAGCAATGAACAGACAAGTCTTTGATAACACCATAACACAACGAAAAAGGAAGCCTGCTTTCCTTTCTGATAAGAGGATGGCAAATGCTTTCAAAAGATAACTTTGTGTTCTTTTACAAACGATGCCTTATTCAAAATTGGACAAGCTCTCTCTAATAAAAAGCCACGTTTGTTCTATTCTGTTACTAAAACTAATCAGATCCCTAAAGACAAAACTTGGCACTGGCATTAGTCAAAATGAGGGATATCAAAAGGAAAGAAGAGGGTTACTAACTACTAATACATTTATTAGTCTACCTGTATTGAAGTCGAGCTTTGACACCTGCAGTGCATAGGCTTCGCATTCCTTCTTGCTGAAACTGAAAATGATTACAGGCTGGAAATTCCGCTCCATGATCATCTTCACTATCTTGAAAACATTAGATGGTCCTGGGGGAAACAAAAAAACACATATGGTTACTCTCTAACATTTCTTTTTAGACTAAAGACAGTTATGCATAACTTCAAATCAAAACAACTGCTAAAAGCATTAAAATAAACATTTAAGTAAAATAAAAAAACAACAATAACATGAGCAAACAGTACCAATATAAGATTCAAATACTAATGAAGTGGGTACTGATGACCTTTACAGAAAGAAAAACTTCTGCAGTGTTAGGTGTTTATTATTCAAGATCCACAATTAATCTAACAGTTACAATGACAGTGAAGAATGAAGTGGATTTCCCTCGAGAGGTGAAAAACACCTGAAATTAACATCAGGCTAATCATCTGAGAGCTATAAATTTCAAATTGAAATTCAAAACTAGAAGAGTAAATTACAAAAAAGAAAGAACATTTCACTGTTTACAAAGATATCAAGAAATATATTTTAAAGCTGAGGGCAGGGTCAAAAACTTTTCTGACTTCTGACTCAAAGCTTCTAAACTTACGTCATTACAATCGAGATGAAGGGCTGTGTATAGCCCTTTTTCTTATAAACCTTGAGGACACATCACAGGAATACTTTCGATTTTGAATACAATACAGAACAAATTCACAACTACTGAATTGTCAGTTTTTCAGTAGAGATTTTTACAGTAAAGTTTTAATCCATATGGAACTACCATTTACATTAAGCATTACAAAGCATGGATTCACTCTCATTTACATGCGATACAAAACAGGGAATTACACAGGACAAGTAACCAGCCTTGTGTGTGTTGTCTCGAAAAGTTGGGGATTTTTCCTGTATCTAAGTAGTTAAGCACTTCTTTTCAGATTTACTGGCGGGCTGTTATGTTTCACTCGTAAAGGTATAAAATACCTCCAGAGCTGTGTTTTCCTTGCCATGAATGTAATGCAGGATATTTGTAGGGATATCATCTTGTGAACTGCAGCCACAAACTGCCCTCCACCATGTATTTTCCCATTTTAATTTATTCCAAACCTTTTGTCCCTCCTTTACGTCCTTTTGGATCCCATTTGCCGCTGTCACCAGAGTCTCTGAGCACTTGCATTGCTGTGTTGAAATTATCTTCTCTGAACTCTCCCTGTGGAAAAGGATATGGGTATTTTTAGGTTTTTCTTGCCTGATACTCATAACTAATCTTTTTAGATCTAATAGCAAATGATATGAACATGTACTTCATGTAGTAAAACTTTTTGAGCAAATCTACCAGTGACTATATTGCCATTAATAATCATGCAATAATAAAACTTGGACTTGGAAATAACTGGTCAACAAGGAACACTGTACATGTACTGATCACTGACTCATATTAGAAAACATTCGATAAGGTGATTTATTTTAACAATGATCTCCACAAATTTCACTCAACAACTGGAATCCACATACAGAAATCTGCATACTATTAGAGACGGCCATCAAGCTCACACGAAGTACAATAAATAATTTAACCTCTGCTGTCTAGACACAAAAATCAAACCTACTGGACCCAACACATAAATGCTAGACATACCTGCTCAGCTCATCTAAGAAATATGTTTTGATTGTTCCAAGCATGTCGGAAAGCCAGGTACCCTTGTGCTCTAAGAAAATCTAATTGAAATCTAGTATCAGGAGAAATAAAATTAATGGATTTATATTTAGTCCTGTGTCACAGAGTAATGCTATAAACCAAGTGATAGCTACATGCTAGTCCATAGTCACAGAATTCTTCTACATTCACTACTGCATAAATTTAAGGGAAAAACTGCCAAGGCTGGGGCCATCAAACGATCCATAAATTGATTCTATCGAATGATCATTATGAATAGTGTGTCTATCAATATCCCAGGCTTTGAAATGATGATTTTGGCTTGGAATATGATTCAGATTTAGATCATATTGAGATTTATGATCTTGAAGGCAAATTTACAGAATTTAATAAGCAACACACTACAGGTAGACAGAGACCTGCCTAGACTCTGCCTAGATTCCTGAGTCTCTTGCCAAATCTCAGGAGATGCATTGCAACTCTTTTTCTTTATCATATAACAGTAAAAGAAGTTTGTCATCAGTTAAAAGGTCTTTGATTATTACAGTACTGAAATATGCTTAAATGAAAAGTATTTTTTTCCTTTCCTATATTGTACTTAAGCGGCTACTCTTTTTCTTAATAAACAAACATCACCTTTCTCTGTTTCACTGCTATCACTCTGAAATCACCCATCATCAGAAAGCAACTAATTACTGCAAAGAGTTTAGAGTGCCTGAACCCACATAAACACTGGAGAGAACATGAGTGCATGTGTCCTCTCCCCTGCCTACAGAATACACCCTGGAACCAAGAGTAGTGATCACTACCACACCTGTGCCATCCAGTGTTCAGTAAATTACAGTCACAGGGACTACATGAAAGTAAAGTCTCTGTACAAAAACCCTAAGAGGATCAGATGGGGATATTTACAGTGTTTTCTTCAAGAAGTAACAGACACCTGATCAGCCATTGACTCACAAGGTTTTGCAAACACTATTTGGTCAATATGTACACCTTTTGAAAAGTAAACAAAAACCCAACTACAAGAAACAAAACACCTTAACTCTTTGTCTCCTGGAAGTAATATTTCCTATTGTCACTTTAGGACACCCCTTTAAAAAATGACATTTCATGAACTATGTTGTAAATTTATCATTCAAAAAAGATTTATTGATGGGCTACTATTTTGGATAAACAATAAATCAACAGTAAAATGAAAGTCACTATCTGCTTCAGCATTAAAAAGATTCACCCTTCAAATGAACCATTATGCTCACACAAGGGCAACCTGCAAGGACCATTTTTTAGTCCTTTCTTCTAGGAACTTTAAAATGGAATCCAGCACACCCTGTTCTCATGTAGCCCATGAGCCTGCCACGGTCTCAGACCCCTGTATGGCAAAAAGACTACCTTTATTTCATTATAGAACTCATTACAAAAACAAGGTGGCTAGAATATTTTGTTCAAAATATTTATGTACACATGGACAAACAAATGCAGAACATTAAATATTTTAGAGATATACCAGAGATATCCAACTTTGGCCTTGTATCACAGATAACCATTAAATCAACATAAAGATCTGGAATAATTCCATTGTGCTCAACTAAGCAGGTGATTTGTTAAATGGAATAATTTAAAGGACTGGACATTTAGGACTTAAATCTAAGTACTCTCCAGCACTCAAGGACAAGAATTTTCTAAATTGCAAAACTTTAAAAACGGGTGACCTATAAGACTAACTAAAATTTGAAAATGCCAGTTTAAACTTTAAGAAATGAATTCCTAATGAATAAATACCAAAGTGGGTACATGCAGCTTCCTATGAGTACTGGGGGGGCAGTGAAAGAGTTTGATGAGCCCAATGGTTTGCATACTTCATGCAGTTATTGCCCACAAAGAGATATCCAACCCAATATTTACTTTTACACTCTGAAATGTATATAATATATTCCAATAAAAATGGTCACTTGACTCACTGGTTTGACCACAGAGTATGCTCATAATATGCATACATTTGGTTATATTCCATTTTCCCAAAATAAAAAATTATATTGTTTCTGTCATTCATATTACTCTCAGGGTTACAAACAAATTGCATGCTTAAAAGCAAAAATAACTTTACTTGTTCCAATACTTTGAGGTCACTGTAATAAATTTCTAATAAAGAAGTATATTCAACCTGACTCATGACAGACATTACTGTAAAGAAAGAACAAAATATTTAACTGAAAGATGTGTACATTCTGATGAGGCCAAATTCAAAACCAAGACATACCCCTGAAAATTTTACAATACATTTTCTGTGATTTTTTTACATCAAATGTACTTACATTTTCATCCACCACTAAGTGAAGTCCATCTCCCCCTGCTGGAAAGATATAGTGTTGCAGTGGAGTAGGCCGATAGTCTGTATAGATAACGTGGCAAGGCTGTAGAAAACATTTACAATGACGATTAAAATTATTGAAAGGGTTTGTAGAATTATACCTTAATGTACGTACTGTACTTACCAATGTAAAAAATGAATATCCTATCATATTTTTACTTCCCATAAAAACAGAAATTTGAAAATTTGAACACTGTCCAAATATATATACACTCATTCCTTGCTAAATACAATTGGGTCCAAAATTTCTGTTCATAGTTGAAAACTAATAAAACACTACATTACCATTATGATATATGTATAAGTATTCGATTTTAGGCAAGCTGTTTAAATGCAAGCAGTTGAAGCAGTTAGGTTGTATGCAAGTACACATGAAAATGTCATACTAAAATGGTTCATTAGTTGATAAACCTTGTGCAGTCAAATAATAAAAACCATTACTATAAAATTAAGATAGATGTCTGGAAATATGGATAGTGTGTATTCATACCGCACATAATCAAAATAAAAATAAAATGTAAAAAAATAAAAAAAGTTTGAACTCATTTTTACAAATTATGCATTTTAAAAATTATTGAACCCCATAACTAAGATAACACCCTAACAATCTTCGTCAAGATAGCTAAAGTAACAACTGGGACTAGCAAAAAATGAAAATGGAAGAATGAGCTACCTGCTTGGAGCGCATATTAGCAGGGGAAATTCACTCAACAAAAATAGATGTAGGGTATCACTCGTTTTAAAGAGTACTCAGGAGTAAGGAGCTCGTTTTACAAAATATGAGTGCATTTTCATTTTAAACCATTTCTTACAGTCATAAAAAGAATAAAATTAAAGTTCTTTACAGACTGAAATCCTCTTTGTTATTTCTTGTTAGGTACTTGTGGATAATTAATGAATTAAAACATTTTATCAAAGAATCTGAATAGTAGGAATGTCAATGGCACTACTATAATCTATAGTGAAAAACGTGATGAAACACCTGTTTGTGAAGGTGGCAGATCCACTCAGCAAACTGCCGTGCATTTGGAATGGTAGCAGACAAGAAAACATAGTGCACATTATCTGGGAGGAGAATAATGGTTTCTTCCCACACCACACCACGCTCTGTAAAAAACATCACAATAAAAGCAGAATTACATGTAAGATAAGCAAATCTAAAAGTCTTTAGTCCTGACCAGATAACAATGAAAAGGGAAATAATTTAGACATTTTAAATCCTCAAGAACAGTGAAAACCATAATTCCACTGACATGAAGATTAATAGTGAAACAATCCAAAGGATGCTAGCAGAAATTGAGAGAATGTGTATTTAAGACTGAACAGGTAGTGGTTCTGTGCTAGAAAAACAATTATAGGAATCTGAAACAAGCTCACATCCAAAGTGGATACTGCTGAATCCTTAAATGAAATGGCAGGTATGATATCCAGATCAATTAGTTACAAGCAACCAAATGAGCTTGTTTGGTTGAATGGCCTCTTATTAAGTTTAGACTTTATTTTCTTATGTATACAGCAGGGTGGCTTTTTTACATTAAAAATAGTATACAAAAGAATGTTAAGCATGCTCTTCAACTTCATTTAAGCATGCAAGTCAAATGGCATAACTAAGGAAAAGGAAATTTACTTCATATTGTATTACATTTACTCTGACATACATTGATGTTGATTTTATTTAAATATGCACTGTAGTCAAGCATGAAAGAAAGTTAATTTCATTCATCTGAAATACCCTTTACTACACAGGAGTCTCCAGATAAAATCCAAGACACAAAAAAATCTCCTCATAGTAAGGAATGGAATAAGTGCCAAGAATAACAAGAACGTCTAAAAATATTCCCTGAAGGAAGGGAGGATTTCACTGTGTGCTGAGGTGTAAAGGAACATAATTTACATTCATAAACTGTTCAAAAGCATTTAAAGTGGGATACACCCATCTATGAGATCTCCGATTGTGGTGCCAGCCCAAACCTGAAATAATTGGACAAAAAATGTGTAGCAACAAACACCCTTACAATCTTTTGTACATAAAAAACCACCCTTCAAGAAACTCAGCTGTTGATTGTTAGTTGAAAGATCAATTTTCCTCTGTATCGGACTTAAGCCCTATTGATGCATCTTTTTAAGTTAACTGAAAAGTCATCTGTAACTACCTGCTAGAGGACATTCATTTCCAGAATATTTTCTTGCTATGCCTATGCAGCACTGCTGCTTCACAGCTCTCAGGTTCTGTGTTCACTACCAGACTAGGGATTCTATTGTATGGAACTGATATCTCCTTCCCCCGTTTTAAACGCGTGTATTTGTCTTCTAAAGACATGTCGATTAGGTTCAGTGGTTTTTCGCCTTGGTGTGTATGTGGCACAATCAGCTTGTGGTTCAGCCTTGTATCCCATGCTTCTAGGAAGTCTGGAGCCTGTCCTGTGACCCTCACCAGGAAAAAGAGGCTGTCTGACAATAGATGAAACATCCAAGAACACAGCACGCCATAGAGAGCATGAATAAAAGGGTAATGAAGCTTAAACAGTTAAATGATATTCATATCCTGTCTAAAGACACAATAACTCCAGGTTCACAATTTTAAACCGTACAATTCAATGAATCACTTGTATATTGTTACTAACAATTACCTACAGTTAATTCAAAATATACAACATTTATTGAATGTGTCTTAGCACACTGTCTCACTTATTGGTTTTTCAATGTCAGCAGTGCTAATTTTAATGGGTTACGAAAATTAGTGAAATTAAGTAGCAAAATAATTGGGGCAAATCAAATCAACTTAAATATGCAAAAAGAGGGTCGTAAAGAAGAGCAAGAGGCACACCTCAAACACAGTAAAGTAACTGTCCTAAGTTCTGTAACACTACTGAAATGTCTTCTTTGTCGGCATTCCGCTTTTGTTGTAGAAACTATAAAACACATTTTCCCAGGAATAATAAAACATGAATGGAAGGCAATAGCTTAAGAAAAAAATATTTTTTTAAATACCAAATGTACATACTCAAAGTCCTTGACTACAATGAAATAAATACCTACTTCACTTTATTATAATTTACATACTGTCGGTCAAAAATTAAGGTTGAAATATTAACTATTATTTCCAAATGATAAAAAAAAGAGAACCAGATCATAAACTTCAATAATGAAGTCTGGAGTCAGAGGACAAATCCTATTTTCTTAAACCCAAACTGCTCCTAAAACTAGAATGCTAATGGTCTCTTTAGTATGACTGAAGACTTACCTGCATCTCTCATGTAATGGATTTCATCAAAAACAACCCACGCTACTTCCCTCATAACCTCCGATCCTCTGTACAACATACTTCTTAAAATCTGCAATAAAAAAAGACAACGGATTGCTATGGTCACTGCAGTTGGGAAGCCAGTTTTATCACAAAATCTTATTTCTAAACAGGGTTAGTACGATGGTAGGAAAAAAGCACACAGATTTCACTTTTACAAAACAAGTAAGCCATCTGTGTAAATGTTAATTTATCAATCAGTGTCCTCCTTTCATCTTTGGTATTCAAGTAGGTTTTTGATCAAATGCAAATGTAAGGAATCTAAAAAAGCAGATTAACTTGTATTACTTTCTTATGTGCTGTAAACATATACTGCATTGTTAATATTATAAATATCTGACTACTGTTTAGTGAGAAACAAATGTTACATTTTGGATTTATTAATAACGATTCCAAGTAAGACTGTGAAACTATCAAGAAAAAATGTTCTTATAAACTCAGATCTCTACACCTGGGCAAATTGAATGAAAATTTCCTATTGATACCTCACTTTGGAAAATGATCATAGATTGTTAAACCTTAAACAATACACAGCACTGCTCCATGGCAGACTAACTTGAAGTGATACATTCAATTGTAGTTTGGTATTATTTTTTCAAGTTTTAAAAGTAGTTTTAAAACTTGTAATGTGCAGGTTTAACATCACATCTCACCACTGGTTTTCTTTTCATCATCCTCCAGAGTCAATTAAAAAAAGTCAACGTTTGCAAACAGAACATTTTATGCTGTTTCCTTCATAAAATGACTTTTTGTATTTAGGCTATACAGGTAAGTATTGTAATTAGGATTAAGGAAACTGAAAAATATAAAAGTGCCATACTGTCACAAAGTTTACAGGCCTTTTTCCCTTTCTAATCATTTCATTTGTAACAAGAAGCATGAAAACTTATTTTTTCCACAGGTGATAGGGCAAATATTGACATATTAATACAGTTTATGGCAATAAAGTTTTCAAATGTGGGATATTCATTTGACATCTTATACAGAAATAAAGCCAACAAGCAGATTTTAGTTGCTTCTACAAAGCAACTGATCCACTCATCAAATAGTCTCTTCTTTCTGGTTTTTAAGGACACACTACCTCAGTGGTCATGACAAGGCATGAAGCTGTGGGATTGATTGTGACATCACCAGTCATCAAGCCTACATCCTGGAACTCCTCGTACATCTCCCGGTATTTCTGGTTGCTTAGGGCTTTAATAGGGCTGGTAAATATAACTCGTTGCTTCTCCCTCAGAGCTAATGCAATTGCATACCTGTGTGAGATGCAAAACAAATTAAAAGAAGCATTGTCTGCAATTCTAAGAGAAAAGGCAATTTTTTACTACAGGAGTGCTTTGGTATAGACATGAACTAACACATAAAACTGAGTCCTACTTGACAAATGCTGTCAAATATTAAAATATAATTCCTTTAAAAAGTCTATATACCCTTGACTCGTGGTTTTGCTTTTAAGAGAATTTCCAACACTGACAGGCTGAAGGAACCAAACCTTTTTAGTTTTGAACAGAAAACTGTGAGGAGACCTGATACAAGTATTTAAAATCATCAAAGTCATTGAGAAAGTCAACCCAGCAGATTTCTTCAGAATTAACAGTAAAACATGAACCACAGGGCACAGGTGGAAATTACATAAAAGTACACTTAAAAAAAAGAACAGGAGGCACGTCTTTACCCAGAGGGTTGTGGAAATAAGGACCAAACTATCCTGCTATGGTGTTGAAGTGGATACCCTAGTTTCTTTCATGAAAATGGCTGGATGAGATCTTTGGGTCCATTAACTACTACCAAAAGAGCTTGTTAGGCCAAATGGTCCACTTGTGTTTGTAACCTTTATCATCATATTACACCATAATATTAAAAGATATTGTTCTTTTCCTCATTCATATGGGCTATGAGAACCTCATGTAATGGACAATGTTTCTGCTAATCCATAATTCACGTTTTTGTTGTTCATCTTACCAATGCATGGGAGATACTTACTCTGCACATACAGTTTTTCCTGCAGAGGTATGGGCTGACACCAGCACGGACTGGTTGTTGTCCAAGCATAAAATAGCTTCCCTTTGGAAAGGGTCCAGAATGAATGGATACTCCTTTAAGAGACAAATATTGGGTCATTTTTTTTACTAGCAAGTAAAAATATGCAAGCAAGTAAAAATATTCTGTAAATTTACTTAGTTAACTTTAAAGAATTATACACATAATGATTAATGTATAACAGATAACAGACAAGATCAAAGTAAAACTTGATTTTGTTGTACAAATTGATTAACTATGACCTTTCTGATAGCCCTGTATACATTTTCTCTGGTCATGAATGCTCCTCAAAATATCTAATTACACATTAATGTAAGGGCATTTTAATGTTACAATTTATAGTGTTTTAACAATTTAATAAGATGGTTAAATTTGTACAATTATACATTGCTATAATATACTAAGAGTCCAGTAAAAACTGCAATAGTCCTTGATACCTTTGCTGCTTTTCCAACACGTGGCTTTAGCTGGGTGTACTCTTCATTTGCTGGTAGAGCAACCTGAACAGATAAAATGGCATTTATAATTCTTATAATGAAGTTATACGGACAAAGTTATAATGGCAAAAAATACCATTAATCTGGAACATTTTCAGGTTTGTTACCTCATGCGTGCAGCCTTCCACAGTCTCCACCTGTTCCACCCTTACTTTGGGCATAAGATCTGCAAGACTAGATGGAGTTTTCAATTACAAAACTTAGTCATCTTTCTGGACAATTTTAAAGCAAACCCGATGTCACTGCTTCTATAAAGTAGCAATATCGCCAAATCAGAAGTGATTCTGTGCTCAAGACCCACCCTTTCAAAATGAGCAAGTCTGATACAGTGATAAAATTGCATGTGACAATACCGAGACCCTCATTACCAACAACCATCAGCAACCCCAGTTGATCCACTGCTGGAAGAATACTCCCCAAGGGCTCTCTAGAGATTCTTCAGCTCTTTGTAGTAGGGCTGGGCGATAATTTGATAACGATAATTAGCGCTTTATCATTTTCCTCGATGATATGCGCATGCCCACAAAAAACTGCACGAGTACGCGTGCGTGTTGCAGACCGGGCAGCTAACGTGGTGTTGTTTACCCACACGGTGGTGGCTGACAGGATTGTAGTTAGAGTGGAGAAATGAGCGACACTGAAGCAAATGTAGTGCTGCCAATGACCAGCTCAAAGGACGATGACATCGTCAAAAGAAAATTCATTCAACTTCGTTAATTTGGAGATATTTTGGCTTTTTACGATCAGACATAAAACAGAGCACTTTAAACTTTGCAGTCTGCCTGAGCCATCTTCTATGTGTGTTTTATCACGCTGCAGTATTTAATTTTTCTATCAAGATATTTATTTTGTAAATTTTACTCATGCATATTTTGACATAAAAAAGACTTGAATACTCTCTACCTCAGATTTGTTTAATGTTTCTGCTGTTTGACAAGTGTTTGTTGTGTTCTTAAAATAAAGAGTTGTTTAATTTTCCACTTAACTGTCTGGTTTCTTCAACTTTCACTCAGGAGAAAAAATCTGCCTTTAAACTTGAAAGAAATAATGATTTGACATTTATCGTGATAATTATCGTTATCGACTGATATTAACATTTTTATCGTGATAATGTTTTTGGCCATATGGCCCAGCCCTACTTTGTAGCAATATCTCCGCTGCAAAACGTTTTAGGTTTCCTTCTTTCACGAGGCCTCCTTGTTAGTTTTCTCATTTCTTTGGATCAATGTCAGGATGTTCTCAGTCTAATTCAAACCAAGTCATTTTGCAGTGTCTAGCCCGCTTACAAAGTTTCTTCAATTTTCCAACAACGTCACAACCTTTTGCCGTTTCCCTATCCATTACACTCTTTTACTGCTCTAAGAGTGTTATTTCGGAATCATTGCGATCTGTAGTCCATTTTACATGTGAACATTGATCAGAACAACACATAGCAGAGTGATTCAAGCATCAGGCTACATGATAACATGGCCTTGTCAGTCACGAATGGTCTGGCACAGATGTATGCGGCCAAACATTTACATTCCATAAAAGTGCTTAGTTAACTTCAAAGTGCTTCGAATTCTCTACGTCTTTTCTTAATTTCAAAGTTTGGTAAAATGAATTTCTACCCTTCAAGATATTTCTAGATGTAAAATGTCTTCTTACATATTTTTGATGGATTCCAAGTTATATCAAACAAACTACACGGCTACATTTTAGTTCCAGCCTTGTAATTCCTTAAGCACGACACCATAAACAAATATCCAGGAAAAAACTGAATAAAATTAATAGGCAGTTTATCTCTGCATTTGCTTACTTTATTTCTTCTGCAGATACAGTCTCGATCTTCGGCTTCTTCCCAAAGATTACTTCATCTGTGCCATCATTATCAAGCTCTCGCTTGCTCTTAGCAGCAGAGCTGTTTTCCGTTTTATCCTTCCCCTGAGCCGATTTCCTAGGAAACATAAATCCAGAACTATACAGTAATCCAAACTATATATTTGAAGCAGCGTTTTGTTGACTGTCACAAAGTTTCAAGTTAACAAGGTTAAAGAAATGTAGAGATTCATACATGGAATCTTGTATAAACTGATCATAAAAAATTGCAAAGCAATTCCTGGATATTGAATGGTTATGTATCAATTTTGCGTTTTCTATATTGTGTTTTACTCAAAAGCTTTAATAAAATGGTTTGTTCAAATGAGTAATTGCATAACTATTTGTTTTACTTTAATTCTGATTTATGATTCTATCTCATAAAGCACATTGAGATTCTTCTTAAAATAACTACATATGTTTTATCAAAAAATATTTAAAATCAGGTTTGCCTAACATGCTACCACAGTGGCAACAATACAAGGAGTTTTTTTAACCCATTCGTCAATTGATTCTTCAAAAGCCCTTCACACTACTTGCTTTTCTCTGATTATGTCCTGTGACGATGCCAATAGATACATTTCTTCAAAAACTTAAACACCCAAGAGTGTTGTTCCATATCCTAACAACAGTCAAAATTCAAAACATTAAGCTATCAATTTTAACAAATCCTGAATACTAACATTAGTTAACTAACAATATTTTCTAACATTCACTAATGATGTAGAGCAACTGTACAAAATACCATCAGCACGTACGAGCTCCTGCAAAGCTGCCTATGCTGATTTGTTTCATAATATCTAACGTCATTTTACAACTACAGTATTTACCTTGAACATACGACAGAACTTTAAGTTTAAACAAACAACACGTGTTTCACTTTGAAATATATACAGAGCCACGGTCCAATGTCCTGCTTTCGTGTTTAAGAGCAGAGGTGACGTAGTATAAATAAAACTTTCTTTTACCCTGGTTGTGATCCAATATTCTCATTTTGCCGCTTCTTAGTGCTTGTTTGGTCCTCCTCAAACACGCTAAACAACTCATCTCCAAAGGTATCCGCCATTGCTGCAGAAAGAAATATCCACAGTGCCCACAATGCACTTCCTTGAAAAGGATAACTTCCGCTACGGCAAATAAAAGGGACAATCTTGTTTGAGCGAAGTGTATGGTTGTGTTGGTGAATGTGTGTTTTTATAACTAAAATCAATTAGTCATTTGTATGTTAAGAGGTTTAAACAACTCTTGCTGAACAAAATTTTAAGTTAGAGCAAATATTTAGTGTTTTGAATGTGTAAAAACATTGAGTTGTGATTGATCTTACTTGGTGTGTGTGAAAAAGACCTTGCATTTAAACCGGGTTACCAGGATGCTGGGGAAGCAATACGAGATTTAATGGCTCATGTACCAGTTATCAAATTTGTCGACGCTTTAAATTGAATGAGATTGTATAGATTTCTTAGCATATAATCGGTGAATTGCAATGGGAGGAAAAAAGAAGAAATCGGAAGCTAAATCGGCGACAGCTCCCTTCATGCCAGCTGCCGGTGCCAGCAGTGCTACTCCTGCTGCCGGGAACGCGTTGATCGAATCTACTGGAAAGAAACAACAGCACAAACCAAACTCCGCGAAATCAACTGCAAGGGGTAGGGCGTGCCGCTAACTCACTTAATTTTGCTTCTGGCAACTTTGTACTGTTAATATAAAATTTAATTTATGACAAAATCCGTAATTGCACCATTCCGTAACGGCTTTTCTGTGACTATGAAGCAGTGAAGTGGGAAAATGGTGCATCAGTGCCCCCACCACATTTAAAATTGATCTGGTCATCTGGACATCAATAACCTTTTCAGTAATGAGTTTCAAAAAGTAATTAAATACTTTTATTTAATTACAAGTAGCAAAAAAATGTAACGACAAATTCTACAATCCACTGTATTTGATTTACGTTACTGGAGGAAAAATACTTTCAGAAAGTAGTGTTTCAGACTTCAAATCGTGCCACAAATGCTTTAGTAACGTTTTTTGGAACCACATGATGAATTGCATCATTTTGTAATCGTCTCAAAATGATGCATTTTTTTGCAAAAGGAGACCATTTGGGTCAGTGATTTTTAACAACTTAGTCATCAGAGGATCTCATCTAAATGTTTATTAAAAGAAGTTATGGTATTGGCTTCAACAGCAAAACTAGTAGTTAGATCTAGACTCCCATAACTATTTTTTGTTCTTAGTTTCCATTTCTATCCTCAGGTTCATGTTCATATTTCTTTGCTGATCACAAAGAAATGTATTGGGTTTGTCACCTACTTTAATTCTGGGAGTATAATATTTGGTGAGCAAGATGGGGAAGAGCTCTGTAACCGGGCTGAGGGGAACAGGAGGAGGCTGGTGATTCAGGAATTTTCTCAGCTACTCCTATTGGCCCCTGTGTCATGCCAACACTTGAAGCACCAAGAAAGCATAAACTGCTCAACTCTCGTCTATTGGTATTCCTGAACCTAACTGGGGTCTGTGACTACCACTTTGTATGCTATAGATGTTGAAGAGCTAAGAAAAATGGAAAGTTAAATCTTGATGAGCAATTTCCGCTAACCTTAAGTGTCTTCCTTCGATTGCTACAATACTAGGACTTTCAGCTTCTACCTTTGGCCACTAGGCTGCCCTCATGCAATGTACAAGCTTGAATCAACTCCTTGAGAAGGCTGCCTAGGTTAAAGCTGTCCTTTCACAGAGGGGACTCAAGTGAGGAGTATGTTTATCCTAGGTCAGCTAGTGAGTGAGGTTGTGGGCTCTGATCAAAGAACCTGGGTCCACTCCATAAGTGCCAGCAACAAGAAATACAAGCAGCAGGAAAGGGCTGACAGAGCAGCAGAAGAAAGGGGAAGGTTGGTTGTTGCCCAGCTACCCCCAAAATTGAGAACCACTAACAGTTTTGGGGCCAAACTGGTGAGCAATAAAATGAAAGGAATCTGACTTGAATGATTGAAAGACTTCAAAGCTTTGAAGAAGAACTTGCCCTTTTTTTCCGTACTGGTATTCCCTGCCCATGGTTGTTGGTTGTGCTGGATGCTGATGCGAGCAACATGGTGATGGGAGAGGTCTTGTGGGCCCTGGGGGTTGGGTGTTTGCACGCTTCAGCCATGTGCTGCAGCATCACACCACTAAGACTGTGGAGAACCATGCTTGGGTGAACCACCTGAACTCCAATGCGATCTTGCATATGCTGTGCCCTGAGGCGGCTTATAGTCCCTGCAAGTGGGCAAAGGTACAGGAGGAGACATGGAAACCACCTACACTTGTCACTGTCATGACATTGCAGACTGCTGTATCTGTGCATCTCTAGCCCAGGTACAGGAATCTCAGACCAGCAAAATCATTGATGTCAAAGGAATTAAATCTGGAATGAAGCAACCCCTACTTACTAGGGCTAGTGGCACTGTGGGACTCTAAGAAATTGTGAGATTCAGTGCTACACTGCTCATGGTGGGTATCAGGTATGTGGTGGGGGTTTTGGCAGTTGATAATCCTTGGAGCACTGAGGGAAGTAATGCTGTTGATTGTGCATGGGGCTCTGGGTTCTGAGCATTTCATTGCACCAAATTAAATATTTCCTCTATAGTCTCTTTCCTGGGGAGCCTTCTACTAGGAAGTTGGTACTCCTGCAGAAGCCACTTGATACTTGTGTGGAGATGACGGATCTCTGTGGACACTGTGTCACAAACCCTGTTTCAGCAGTATAAAGTAGGGACACCTATGGAGAACATCAGAGTAGACAAGCTGATGATCTTTCTCCAGAAGGAAGCAGGTTTCTACTCAAATTTATTCAATGTATATTGAGAGTTTACAGTCTTTTCGTACGGTTTTGTTTGGTTCTTTAAAAAACACTGATACATGTAACAGGTAAAGCCCTATTCTAATTCATGATTAAAGTCACGTGTTCTTCATTTATTCGGAATTACAGAAATCAGCTCTAGCTTTTACAGTGAAATGTTGAATTGTATATTATCATCTTTGCATTTTTTTTAAATCATGTGCTTATATAAACTATTAATTTCTAAAACCTGAAAATGTATTTGATACAATATGTTGTTTCAAAATGAAAACATTCAAAAACCATGTTGGTGCAGGAAGAAAAATTTGACAAGGTGTACAAATTAGGTGAGGTGTAGAGTTAGCAAAATGTTTATGACAATATGATGTGCTGGAACCTTTCAGAATACTTTCCCAATTTCTTTAACTGAAAGAAACAGTAGTATTTTTTTACCAGGCATTTATTATAGATTGTTTTACCAATTAAATGCCATTACATGGACAGCAAAGGAAGGCTCTTTCTGTAAAGTACAGGATGTCATACATTCTTATACCACAGCAAAATGGGATCATCTCCAGTCCTTGGATCTCCCCTTACAGACACTCCTTAGCAAAACCTTTTGTTCAAAGTAAAAACGGTAGCTAAGACATATTTTTATATTATACCAAGTAAACTACAGTACGTTACTTCATTTAAGTAGTGTCTACTCCTAGGTGGAAACCATAGTAACAGAAGAAGAGCTCCATACAGGGCTGACATCAGCCTTGTATTTAACTGAGCTGCACATCAGAAAGTTGTGGTTGACATTTTCTGATACTCTGATCATTTTTAACTTTACATTGTTTTTTTTGTACATTCCTGTTAGAAAAGCTGTTTGGGAATATAAGTTTTATATTTAAAGGTTTGAGAGTAGAAAGTAGATTCCAGTGTTGTGTGTTAAATTAATAAGGAGCTATTTGTTAAATTTGTATTTGTTTTGGGTATCGCAAAAATCAACATTTTGAATGACTCAGAAAGCAAATAATCTATTTTTTCACCAGCTCCGAAAACTTACAGCTTCGTAAACACACCATCGTCTGAGTCAGGAAGTGCTTCCAGTCTTGACAAATCTGTTCTGAAGGTAAAAACCAGATGACCTCATTTAACTTTCAAGTGCTCTAACTCATAAAGTAAGAAGAATGATCAAAGCTATCGCTGGACAGGATTTAATAATGTTTATATTCCCGCTGAAGAGTGGGGATGCATTTTATTAACTAACTATGCTGGTTTATGGCCAATTTAATTTAATTTTTATATTCTTTAAAATGTAATGACTATAAAATGTAAACTGTCAGTTAATTTTTTAAGGAAGAAATCTAATGAAAACATCTAATTTGACTCCAGGCAAATCCAGGCTCCAGGTTTCTGTTTATAGTTTATACTTAAATGATGCTGCAGTATTTCATACTAGATTTTAAATATACTGCTTTCCTGCTGTGTCTCTAATATGTTATAATCAAGCTTTCAACTCAAACTACAATAGTAATTCTGTTTGTTTATGCTGTATTATTATTAATATACTGTTCATTTTTTTCTGACTGCCATGAAATTGATTTTAAGCAGTGCTGAAAACAATCTGTTAATCTTAGTTAGAATTTGTGGTGCTCAGATACATGCTTATCCTGTGGTAAATTAATGCAGTGTACCAAAAGCTACAATTAATCAGTGTTGTGCATTTTCCTGTTTCATTCCAGCAAACCTTACTTGGATGTTCATTTTCTTTACTTGTAGGTTGTGATTCAAGCAGACTTAGAGAAAAACATTATCCAGCTGATCAATGAGTACAGGAAACAGTATAGTGATAAAGGACCAATTTCAGGAAGACTTACTACCAAAAAGCTGTTGGTGAGTGAAAATTAGAAATGTTGTGCTTATTTCCTCCTACTAAAACATTAACCTGTTTTAGAATTAAACATAAAGTACTTTAGAAATGTGTATCTACACTAAAGAGTATTTTTTCAGCATTTAAGTAATACTGAGACCTTACAGGAATAAAGTTGTGTTATAGAATAAATCTGAACCCTTTTTTTCACAACTTGCCATTTAATAAATAATACATCTGTGCCTCAGTTACTATCTGTGTAATTGACTGCTCTAATTAAAAGAGGACAGTCGACTCATGTTTAATCCCATTCTGTGCAGGATCTTTACACAGCTTTGCAAGGCTTCTCCTTCAAGACAGAGCACATTGAGGAAGCCATGAAAAGCAGTGTTATGTACGGAGGGGATCTTCATTCAGCCCTCGACTGGCTTTGCCTAAATCTGTGTGATGGTAAGAAGAGTTGTTAAATACATCCATCTATAGTATATATTTTTGTAACTGTTTTTATCCAATACAGGGTCCCAGGGGAGCCAGGACTTATTCTGGCATGCAAAGGGTGCATACCCTACCCTAGATGGGACTCCAGTCCATCACAGGGAACACACTGACACAAACAGACAAGCACATACTCACAACAGGGACGGTTTTCTCAGCAGACATTTAATCCATTAGTATGCTTATACTACTGTGGACTGTGGGAGGAAAATTTAACACCCTGGGGAAACTAATACAACCATGAGGAGAACATACAAACCCCATGCAGATAGCACCCCACAAACCGAACCCAGGGCACCTGTGCTGAGAGGCAGCAATCCTTGACTTACTTGCAGTATCTGCTAGTTTGACCAGCTGTGTCATGAAGAAGACCTGGTTTCCTGAGGATTATTCTAGTATGCAATGGTGTGTTCAGAATTGTTACTGTTATTGTTCTGGTAGAAGAATCACAGAAAAATCTGAATTGTGATTTTTGTTTTTTGCTTGTATTAACTTCCCTTTACAATGTACATTTTCATGCAGTATGTCACAGTACTCAAGAACTTGAATAGTTTTTGGACACCTGATTATTAAGAACATAAGAAAGAAAAATGAGAAGAGGCCATTAGTGTTTAGATGGTTGTAAGTTTGAGTCATTGCTTTTATTTTCCACTATTGCGTCCTTCACCGAGCTACTTCAATTGCTGTCCACCCACACTTTCAGGGAGTAACACTGTAATGGGCTTGCATCCCATCTAGGGCAGAAATCCATGTTACACTACAAAGACCTAATTCAGCTTCAGCCTGATGGCTCAAGTACAGACTTGGCTCAAGTACAGACTCAGTTCATCCAGCTCATTTAGTTGCTAGTAGCTAATTGATCTGAGGATCTCATCCTCCTGATTCTTGAAGGGAGCAAAGGTTTCAACTGGGCTAGCTTGTTCCAGATTCCTCTCAATTCTTTTTTGTAAAGAAAGTCCTACTCTAATCAGTGTTAACTGCATCACCTCTTAGTATAAGTGTGTCCTCTGGCTGGATTAATCTTTTCAGTTTTTTTATGTATTTTAAGCACTTAAATTGTTTTTTTTTTTGCTGTTGTGTTGTTCTTGAAACAGTACTTTGTAGGGTGAACATGCAATATATAGTTGAAAATGAGAAACAAAATTGACAGGACAATGACTGAGACTATATTTCCTAAATTGTTGAGATAATAAAAACGAGTGTCCTCTGAAATTTGGACCCTCCTAGTTTGGACCCTCCTAGATCTCTCACATACCATACGCTTGTATGAGGAACTATAATGTGAAGAACAGTGAAAGAAGATGACGAAGAATAAAATTAAATTCATAAACTATCGATGTATGGTACTCAGAGCTGTACAGCTCAAAAAACTTATTGTTTGAATGCCTGTTATGTATATAACTGTGAAATAAGAAATTTATGATGGAAGTAAGGTTTATACTGATAATTTGGGAACAAAATCAGGCTAATTACATTTTACGTTGTACGAGTCATTTAAAATAATTATTGAACCATGTTTTTATTTAAAGTCCCAATTTATTACTGTTTTTGTCTGTTTTGTGCAACGGGTGTTATTTTTTGTTAGAGGAGCTTCCTGAGGGCTTCAGTCAAAAAATGCAAGAAGAGAATCAAAAAAAGAAGCCTAAGTTTCAGCCACCTCCAGAGAAGAAAGAACAGGCACGTACTGAAGTGAGACAGACCAGTGCGAAGCAGGAAAAACTGGTAAGTTCTTAACCCTCACCATGAAAACTCATGCTGATCATTACCCACTGAGCTCATGGTTACTGTGAATTTTCAAGTAACACATTACGTTTTTGCTGTCTTTTTTTTCTTCCTTAGAAAAAATTAACCAGTGTTATAATTTCAGGACTAAAATATTTTCTATTTTATCTACCTGAAAACAGTAATTTTTATTATAAATCTGGAATTACCTTATACAAGATTTGATTTAAGTAAAATATATGGATCATTGAACTGGACTTCTACAAAAGTGTTCTTATTCAACCCCAGTATACATTATGAACATTATGATTACTTCAATGCTTTAGCTATAGGGAATACTGGTCCCATCCATTCATCTTGCACGCATAGGATGAGCTTGTAATTCATAGAATTATAATCTAGAGTGAAATGTTTACAGTTTAATGTGTAAAATGGACCAAGAGTTGACAATGTGCCACTCTTTCTTAGTGCCAAAGATGAAACACAGAAGAAGGCATATATTTTTTTTTAAAGACTGCTTTTTTAACTTTGAGGGATTGAGCAAATATTTTTAATGTACATCTTAATGCAGTGTCTGTTCTAGAATCTTTTTGAGATCTTAATTTGTTTGGTAAAGATAGCAAACATTTTATTTATGTAGTGAAACTGACTTTCACACACAAACATTTATCTTTTTATTTTTTTGCTAATGAAAGTATTTGTATGTTCTAGAAAGCTATATAAAACATTATGTTGTCATGAGAATGCATCTCTCTTCAGATGTGCATATTTTACACACTGCCTTATTTTCATACACACCTATTATGAAAGTTTTAATTATGTACCTTAAATCAAGAGGAACATACTCTGCAAAGACTCAGTATGTCCCTATAACAATTCCAGACCTGATCAAGAAATTGGAAATTAGATGCAATGCTATCTAACGCATAACTATACAGAGCATATTGTCATTTTATTGCTTCACTTCTAATGTCTTCATTACAGAACAGGTGAACAGACCACTTTGTATTATAAACAGCAAATGAGGACCCATATAACTAGTTGTCATTTAACATCATTTGTAACACAATGGTAGTTCTTTAATGTTCTGCACTTTTCTGTTTGAGTCAGTACAACTTTCAGTGTTTCAATGTCAAATTATGACATAAATGATTGACTGCGATTTTGTAATGCTTTGTAAACTAAAAACATAAAACAACCATTCAGTTTCTTTCTAGTCATGTTTAATTTATAAGTTGTGATGTATACTGTAGGTACAATGTTTTCTACAAGTGTTATTTCTAAAACCTAGAAATGTTCACCTCATCTTAAATTAATGAAAAATGACTTGAAGTTATGGAGCTTGGGTTTCCTTTGGGTGCTTTGACTTCCTCTTACAGCCAATTCAGTTCAAAAACATACTGGAAGGTTAATTGGCTTTTGGGAAAAGTAGCCCTGGTGTGAGTGTGTTTCCTTGCGATGGACTGGCATGCCTTCTAAAGTGTATCATTGCTTGTACCCGTTGTTTGCCATGATAGGCTCTAGCCTATCCGCAACCCTGTATAAAATGAACTGGTAAGAAAATAAATGTATGGATGACTTACTCAGATTCTGTAAATGAAATCAAGTGCTGTGACTCTTTAGTGAGTGAGTGTTAATTTGATTAATTGTTAATTGTAAACGTATTATTTTGAAATTTAACAACACATTTAGTAGCACAAAATGTTCAATTTTCCTTTAAAAAATAATAATAGTTTACTTCCTCTTTTAGTTCAGAGCTTTAGTTTAATGCATTTGTAATTTATAGTATAAACCCTCATATCATATTGCAGTCTTCTTGTTGTGTCATATTGAGAGAAATTAGGCAATGAAGTGGTTTACTATATCATTATTAATGAACATGTTATTAATGCATGTATGAATGTTATTAATGTATATAGAATTTGTGTACTACAGTAAATATGTTATCTTCGCAAGAACATCATTCAGTTAACTATGACTTTAATTTCTTTAACTTACTGTAGATTCAGTTGAAATATGTGCTTTAACCTGATTCACTCAAAATTATTCATTTTAAGTCCTGTTTCAGTGAATCTCCTAAAAAACTGCAAATGAAATGGAAATTTAGTGGGCTTATTTTTGTATTGGTACTTAATTCAATCTGTGGCTTTTGTGAACAACAGACACATGTGAAAGAGGAGAGTGTAACTATGAAGGAGTGGATATTGAGATATGCTGAGCAGTCCAGTGAAGATGATGATGAGAAAGCAGAGTGTGGAAAATCCGCAAAGAATCCAGAGGAGGAGGCAAAATTTGATCCTGTGAGTTTCTGACCAGTGAAATGCTAAGAGATATGAGAAGGTGCAATGTGATCTTTCTTCGTTTTGTTATCTGATTGATTAAGAACAGTTACAAACAGCTGATCTGGGATCACTCAGCTTAGGCAATTCACAGGAATGAAAATGTCCAGTTACCTGCACCTCTGTGACATCAGTGACAGACCTCTTGCTTCTCCAATCAAAAGGTGTCAGATGACAAATGGCTCTACATGCCAGATTTTTGGTGGAGCATGGTTGTGTTCCTTTGTTTTGCGATCTTACAATAATTGCTGATTTCATATTAATATCACACGGAGAAGAAAATGTTCACAAAAAAATGTTATATCTTTCTTAAAATAGCAAGGGGATCATTTAGTGAGAAATAACAACACCTGAAGCAGCCCATCCCCATCTCAGATTTTAATCAGTCTTGCTATAGATTGTGAGGTCTCTGTTGTGTATTTTGAACAGAATGATCGGTACCTGTTGCTGACAGCTCAGCTTTTGGATGCGAAGGAATTAGCAGCTTCTGCAAAGCAGAAAAGGGACAAACAAGGGCAAAGAACAGCTCAGGACAGAATAAGGATCATACAGCAGGGTAAGCTGGGTCTGAATCAGTTCATAACCTTCAATACTTTTAGTAAGCTTACAATCAAACATTTTGTTTTATACAAATCATACTTTGACCTTGCATGTTAATTTGTGTGTTGGAATGGTGAGGTGAAAGAGGAGTGAGGTAATAATAATTCCTAGAATTTTCATAATGATTTCCTTCCCCATGGGTCTTGGAGAGCTTTACCCTCTGAATGCACACTCATCTTTGTGATGTCTCAGTCATTGACTGCGAACAGCCCCACTCCACAGCTACCAGGTAGAGAAGGGAGACATTGCTTCACGCGTTTACCAATGGAGCAACGTTCAGTAGGCCAGATTGTAAATAAAAACAAACCCAAGATTAATTTTGCAAGAACACTTGGGTTAATAGCCATATTTTTCAAAAAAAGTGCCATGAGATTATGAATGACCATGTAGCCAGGAACTGTCTTTCACATATCATTCAAATGACACCACTTCTTACAACATATTGTCCCAGTCCTCATACTAGGACATTGCTTTTGGAAATTGTCCTACAGATACTATTGCACCTGCACACGTTGCAACTGTCTGGTTTGCCCTGGAGGACTTTCATCTCAGTTCTGACCAGGCCCAGTTTTTACTAAGCTTCTGAGATCTGATGAGATCAAGCTAAAAGGTAGTAAGGCTGCCTTCAAATCTTAAAAAGTAACTAAGGAAATGTGCTGCTAAATTTTGAAAAAATAATAGATTTCAAGTCTTTGATGTACATCAATAATGAGCAACAAAAGATGGCTTTTTAAAGAACAGTATCTCTGAAATCACCCAATTTTTATCCTGCAAGAGCACATTATAAAATGTTGCTTTCAATGGATTTTTTATTGACTTGTTTTTTCTACTATTTAGAAATGAAGCCCTTAGAATCTCATCCTATGTTCAATCCAGCAATTAAATTGACAGATGTGCCGAAAGAAGGAAAAAAATTGTCTCCACCTCTTGAGGGAAAAGATGACTTTAACTTTAATTTGTTGGAAAAGGCACAAGCAGCTCCTCAAGAAAAGGGTAAGAAAAGTATTCTAATAAAAAAATAAAACCTAAATCCATATTGCTTTAAGGTGAGAAAGCCATAGGTTTACTTTATATCATTACATATTTAGAAATAGTTATATTTCCCCTTGTATTGACCAAAAGTAGACATTTTATTTCTCTGAAATATTAGGTATCTATCTCCAAATGGTGAAGATTCACACATTTTCAATATAACCAATTATTTTTTGTAGTTATTTCTTGCTTTTGAGACAAGTATTCCTAATGCTTATTAATAACTAAATTCAGTACAAACAAGAATTTGCTTTTGTTCACTCCAAAAGTATTTGTTCCTAGTTTTGTGGAGAGTAAAAAATCTATTCCTTAGTTTGGAACCAGGAAATTGCATGTTAAATACAAGTAGGAAAAACAGAAGGTGTCAAAGTCTAAGAAGTTACCAGTGTCTTTTGGCTTTGAGTAGAAGTCATAATGGTAATGAGAACTATTATTTATTATTTCAAGAATATGTTCAAGACTGTGGAAAATGTTTGAAAGAGTTTTGCATGTAACATAACAGATCGAAGTATAACTCTTGAAACATTTTCCACACTGTAAAGTTTAAATCATTCATCAACCAAACAAAAAATTCAGTGAAGATTTTAATGTCTTTTATACCTGTTATTAATAGAAGGAAGAAAAAAGTTTCTTAACTGCGAAAGCATAATTATATGATATAAATCATCACCCCATGCTGTTCCCAACCTAGAATTACTATCAAGCACTGATTGATTCTGTTTCTCTCTTCATTCCTAAGAAGTGCCATCTTTAAACTTGAATATTAATATATATTTATTTATACTTAATTATTGCTGGAGTATTAAGTCATGTTAATGCTGTTTATAATGTTTCTATTCACCCTGCAGTGAAAAAAAATGAACCCAAAGATATAAGGAACTTTGACTATACGGCAAGGAGCTGGACTGGCAAATCTCCCAAACAGTTTCTGATTGACTGGTGCAGAAAAAACCTCCCCAAAAGCCCACCTCCTTCTTTCCAAAAGGTGCCAGCTGGTAGATATTGGAGATCCAGGTGTGTGTGTTTCATTGTCTGCAAAACAGAATTCTACTCCTTCTCTGTAAAATTACAGTCTTTGTGCAAATTTCCAGGACATTGTGGGAAAATTTCATATTTGCCACCAAGGAAACTGACAGCTCTAGTACTTTTATGTAATATCAAGGATCGAGTTGAGCACTTCTTATACTATGTGTGTTTAGATCCAGTTAGGCTATTTGCATTAGTAAACTTTCAAGGCCTAAATCTGTCCTTGAAGCTGACTGTGGTTATTATCACCCCTCAGCATTCAGATACAAAAATGTATTGGGTTTTCCAATAAATAATAATATTAATACAGTAAACTTCATATATGGGATTGGATAAAATACATTATTTGGCCAAACCCTCTACTCTAGCTCAGATTTTTCTTTAACAGAGATTTCTTCTCTCTGCTTAGTGGAAACCTGTTATTAACCAAAGGCTTTGTAATTGTCTATGTTATATATTACCAGCTCATATCTAATAATGCACAGTGCTTTGTTTATAGGTTTAATATCTCAGCCTCTCCTTGAAAATCAGGATTTTTCTCTTAGCCTCTTGCAAAATGATGACCATTACATTAATAGTAGGATCAACCACTCTTTCATTTTTTCTTCTCCAGGGTTCGAGTTCAGAAGTCGAGTGATGATGTTTTAGAAGTATGCCCTACAATTCTTACTGAAGACAGCATGCAGGCCCAGCACCTGGGAGCCACTCTGGCACTTTACAGCTTAGTCAAGGGACAGGTAAGGCAAGTCCATTTTTGTAAACCTTAAGTAAATCTTTAATGTTCTGAAAAAGAGTTGTTGTAAAAGTAAGAATAGATTCTGTTGCACCTGTCTGTTACCTCATCTAGTGCACTATAGTGTGACTTCCCAGTGTGGAGTTTCTTGGAATATCTTCTTCACAATTCTTGAAAGTAGCAGTTAATAAAGTATACACAAACAAGAGCAGAAAAATATTAGGTCAAATCAACTTATAATTAATCTCCCTGTGATATATGATCAGTTTGTTGTCAGTATTCTATTATGTGTCAAATAAAAGATGCACAAAGCTGCCACTGTGATGTCTTTTGGAATTGTTCTTTTTCAGTGGTAAATAGAACTAAGTGTAGCAGCTAATTTTTAACTTAGTTTAGATTAACTCAGATTAGTTTAATTCTTAATCAAGCAGTTGCATCAGTTGTTAGTTGAACTCATCATGTCCAGTCAGATCATTGTACAAATTGTGATTATAATGTTTCTCTTGAACTTAAACTATTACCATTTTATTTTTAGTCAGTTCATCAGCTGCTGCCACCCACATACAGGAATGTTTGGCTGGAATGGCAAGACAATGAGAAGAAAGAAGAGGAACACAGCAAATCAGAAATTAACAAGCCAAGGGATCAGTTCATTTCCAGGCTGCTTAGCAGGCTGAAACAGCAGCAGACACAAAGTCAAAAGCAATCACAACCTAGCCAAAGCGCCTCTGAAACAGGGGAGGAGCCAGAGGATTCCTGGGAAGATCTGATATCTGCAGAAGAGGAACCAGGCAAGCAGTCCGTCTCTAGCTCTGGCTGTGGGAAAATGGAGTCCGTCAGAACTCAGTTCCTCTCCCTGAGGGACTCTTCATTGGCCAAGAAACTGCTGAGGGACAGAGAGCAGCTGCCTGTGTTCCAGCACAAAGACCGGGTACTGGACATGGTGCGGAGACATCGTGTGGTGGTGGTGGCAGGAGAGACGGGCAGTGGGAAGAGTACCCAGATACCCCAGTTTATCCTGGAAGACCTGCTGATAGGTGGTTCTGAAGCCCAGTACTGTAATATTGTATGTACTCAGCCACGCCGAATCTCCGCAATGAGCTTGGCTACCAGGGTGTCCCAGGAGTTGGGCTGTGAAGACGGGCCAGGAGCAAGGGTGAGGTTATCTAAGCTGTACTGCAAAACACAAAAAAGGTTTATTTATTTTTATGTACGAAATGGAGAGCAAAGAGGAGAAACAAATTATTCATCTTTAAGAACTTTTATTTCCTAAGCAGAATTTACATGCTAAAAAATAAATGTGTGCATCTGTTGAAGCAGGTTCTAACTAAGTGAAAATTGAGAAATATTTTTCTGCTTGGGGACAATTTGAAGATGGCAAAGGCAAATGTTTGCCTCTAGCTGGGTTGTTTGATGTTTCTAATGTTTTTATGAAAGTGTGAGTTCAGAGAAGAGCCTAGAACAGATTTACAGTTTCGCTTCTGAATTATTCAGTTTTAAGTTTATGTAAACATGAACCCAGCTTATTTGTTACTGCCCTTCATATTTATTATTTACTCTGTCATGGAAACTGATAATTGAGTAGATGATATGCCCACTTAAAATGGGAAAGCATTTTATCTTGGTTAGTCTTAAAGGGTGCTTTAACAGAGCCCACAGCAATAAAATGTTATTGTATAATATAAGTATACATATGCTTTTTTTCAGACTTCACTCTGTGGCTACCAGATCAGAATGGAGTCTAAATGCGGAGATTCTACAAAGCTGCTGTATTGTACCACTGGTGTACTACTGAGGAAACTACAGATTGACAGTCTTCTGAGCTCTGTCTCACATGTCATTGTTGATGAGGTAAACAGCAGGGCTTTTTCTGTACAGTCATACCCCAGTTTATATAATTTAACTACAATGAAGGCACTAAAAATTTCAAGGTGGTGCTTAGTACACCTGGATGACTCAAAATGTCCTTCATTTAAATTGCAATTAGACTGAAGTCATGTTTCTCAGCACCTCCTATCAATTATGTAAAACCATTATAGTAACCCTAACTATGGATGGCACTGTACTTGAATTTCAATCTCAATTGGAACACCATGGGGGTGATATTTGAACCAGGTTTGACGTTTGACTCGTATGTGCGAAATATTGTAAAATATTCTTTGGACTCAAAAATATCACCAGACTATGTCCTATGTTTTTGATAACTGAATCAACACTTTCATCTTCTCTCGAATTAATTACTGTAACGCCCTACTCTCTGTGTTATCTAAATTCACACTGAACAAACTCCAGTATGTCCAGAATTTGGCAGACAAAAGTCTGACCAGGTCTAGTGCAAGTGATCACATTACTCCTATCCTGGAGTCCATGTACTGGCTTTCTATCAGGATTTGTTTGGATTTCAAAATCCTCATTCTGATCCATAAAGCTCTACATGGCTTGGCAGCTCAGTACCAGTCTGACTTCCGTCCTACTCCCTACCTTTGTTCATCTGCTTCTGGTCCCTGTCTGTTCCCCAAGCCTGGGTGACAGAGTCTTCTCCTGCTATGCCCCAAAGCTCTGGAATTATATCCCTGAGGATATCAGAGGGTCACCTACCCTGAGCACTTTCAAACCAAGACTCAAAACATTCTTCTTTAGAAGGACTTTTATTTAATTGGTTCTGTTTCTGCCCCTTTGTTTTCCTATTTTATTCCAAACCCTTATTGTAATTGTGTAATTCTACTGTCTCCTTTCATTGCTTTCTTTTCTTTATACAAATGTAAACTGACAAATGTTTTTTCATTGGATTTATTAGGGAATATTAAAGTTATTTTCTTTCAGTTAATAGAACTACTGCCCCGATACTATGATAAAATTATAAGATCACAATTTACAGCTGATTTCAGGTAGCATTACACCATCACTTTTAATAACCACTTAATCCACTTCAGGGTAAAACTAGCTTAGATCCTGTCCGGAGTCCATCCATCGCAGGGCACACACAGACACAGACGTGCACACTCACACCTGGTCCAGTTATCCTAAAAGCCAATCAACCTACCAGCGTGTCTTTGGATTGTGAGAGGAAACTGAAGTACTCAGAGGAAACCTATGTGAACATGGAGAGAACATGCAAACCCAGTGCTACAAGGCAGGAATGCTAACCCCTGTGCCGCAACGCTACCCTAAATTGTTCACTTTAATTGCTAGCTTAACAACTACTTTAATGCCTTCTAAAAATCGTTTTGGCAGTTTGTTATATACTGTTCAATTTAGCTCTTCTGCCTTGCATATGGAGTTTCTCAGGTATAACAAATCCTCTCTTTTTTTCAGGTTCATGAGCGAAGCGTCCAGTCAGATTTCTTACTCACCATCCTGAGGGATATCTTACAGAAGCGCTCTGATCTTCACCTTATTCTCATGAGTGCCACTGTTGACTGTGACAAGTTTGCGACCTATTTTAGGCGCTGTCCTGTCATAAGCATCCCAGGGAGGACTTTTCCTGTGGACGTGAGTTATTAAACATGTGTTCTCATGTCTTGCCTTGAATTTGCAGTGCATATTTTATATAAAAAGATGTGATTTAGTAATTTAGTAGTAAAGACTGCAAAGTAACATTACTTCAGCATCTGCTTCTTTACTATTTAATTTAGAATGTTCTCATATGTACAGGTGTGAATATTTCTTTATAGTATTACTGTACTATAATGGGAGACCTCTAAGGAAATCCAAGTTTCTGCTACAAGTGTTGGGGGGTCAGGAGGTGGCATTCTTCCCACTTCTGTAATTTCAGTACCAATATCCCAGTAATGTGGCTGTTGGGAAGTTATACTGTAAAAGTCGCCATTCTTCAGATAAGACACCTTACTGAGCTCCTGGTCATTAAATATCCTATGACATATTATTAATTTTATGATTAGGGGTATTAACTGTTTCAGTCTGGCTAAATTTCACTTTGATCATGTATAGTCTAGCCTTCCTAAATTTCCCCCATAATAAATTAAATTGGCAAAGCAATTTCTCGCTTCTGATGTGCTATGTAGTGGGTTTTCTGGTGCATAATGGCTGATATGTGTCATCCAGATGCGTGCACCAATGATGGATGTCCCTTCTCATGTTATGTGCTTTGCTATCCTTTAGGTTGAAAAGTGATATATAAATAAGAGGAGCTTTTGTTACTATTAATATTAACAACAATGATTCTTACTATAAGCCTCTAAATCGGAAGTAAAGACAACTATATTCTATACTATATTCTTTCTGATTTGGTAACTTTTCTTATGATTGGGCAAGAAAAACCATTTTCAGTTTATGTATTAACATAGCGATAATGGTTCATTATAATACCATGGGGTTGTGAAATATTGGAGCTCTTGTACACACCAGTTTGTGGTGATTCAACACTCATGTTTTATCCTCTGTGACTAGGTGTTCCACCTTGAGGATGTGGTGGAGCATACTGGCTATGTGTTGGAGCAGGACTCTGACTATAGTCAAAAATTCCTGGAAGAAGAGGAAGAAATCAGTGTGACTGTCACAGGAAAAGGAGGAAGGACTGACGTACACCAGGTAACTTCAGCATCTCGTATCTCTCTGTGGACACACAGCCAAACAGCATAGCCATTTAATTTTTAATAATTATCTTCTTTCTTTTCTTCCCGCCACTGGGCTGTTTCAGGAGTTCATTGTGAGAGACTTCGGGTGTGGCTGGGATGTAGGAGCTAACCTAGACAACTACTCCAACCGAACACGACACGCCATTCAGTACATGAACCCCAACAAGATCAACATGGACCTCATCCTAGAGCTGCTGCTTTTCCTTGGTAAAGATAATGAGCTTTTAATTTTTCTTTAAAAAAAAATTAAGTATCCTCAAACAGTCATAGAAGCATTCATTTGAGATTTCAAACTTTTAAAACCTTAAGTATAATGGCAACAAAACAGAAAGTATGTTTTCACATCAAGAAGTGACTCACATCAAGAGTGTTCTATATGGGCTTCAGTTATTAACAGTTGAATCTTGGTAATGTATTTTACTATTATATGTATTTCAAATTATGTTATAGTCTTTTTTTAAGTCTTAATAGTGATTAACTAGTTAACATGGCTTGTGCCTAAAGCAAAAGTGAAAGAGCAAATGTATTGGCTTTGCTGCAAAGACGGCTTCAGTGTAGAGCTGTGAGCCAAGTGGTACATGGAAAAACTGCATGTTTTAGGACGGTGGTTCCCAACCTTTTTTGTTTTATGTACCCCCGCAGCAGTATGGCTCACGTACCCCCTCATCCACACCAAACCATTATGATCCTAAACTTAATTCATTTAAACTGGATATTATTAAACATTATTAATAATATTATTGAACTGGATATCATTATAATGATTCACTTTCAACCAAAAGACCAATTGTTGTTACTGTGGGTGAAAAAACAGAGTCAGATTCACCAAGTAGATTCATCTCCCTTTAATGAGACACCAGAGCTTGTTTGTCTTTCAAAAGTTTTGACAGTTCTGGGGGCAGTGTGGCCATTGCTGTAATCAGGCTGTTCTCCACATTGGGTCTGTTCCTCTGCTTGGTTTTGATCTGAGTCAAAGCTGAGACAGCCACTTCACACGAGTAAGTAGATCCAAAGGGTAAAAGTTCATTAAGTGCATATCTCACCAGCTCAGGGTATTCCTTTTCCACATCACACCAGAACTGTGTCAGTCTTTTCTGCATGTTTCATCTTCAACCCACAGTCTGAGGACACATCTGTCTGATGTTCCTGCACTCTGGCAGGAAGGCTGCTGCTGCTCTTAGTCACACTGAAGGGGTTCCTGACCCAGTCCAGTTTAGCAGACCTGCTTTCAATGTTACTGAAGGACTCAGTAAGAGCTCAACTCACCCGTGGTTGGGAATCACTGTTTTAGGGTCTGCATCTGTGTATATTTAAAATAAAATAAAACTGAACTGATGCCACTTAATCCAGTACAAGTGCTGACTGCATATCTCATGAACATGTCTTGAACATTTAAAAATAAGTGTTGTTTCCTTTGGTGCAGATAAGGCTCCTCAGTTCAGAGGTGTGGATGGTGCTGTTTTGATTTTCTTGCCGGGCCTAGCTCACATTCAGCAGCTCTATGACATCTTGTCAACAGACAAAAGATTTCGGATGAAAGAAAGGTAATTTTCCATGTACTTCTCAAAATAATGTTTCTTTCATTTATAGATGTATTCGAACATTTGATTTGTAAGGTATTACTCAGATTTTGAGACTAATATCTAATGTTTTATGGAACAGTGGTCAGAGGAAGCAAAGCTTTCTTTTCAAACCAGAAAAAATAAATCCAGCTTTTCCTGTGTTGCATGAAAGCTGTTTTGTGTCATGAATAAATGTACAGTAGTGTTAGAGATGTAATGTTTTGTTAATGCTGCAGGTATAAACTGGTTCCTCTTCACTCCACTCTTTCGTCTCAAGACCAAGCTGCAGCATTTACATTACCCCCTCCTGGTGTCAGGAAGGTATTGTTATTTGATTTCTCTCCTGCACTTTTTGTAATGTGTAATTTATATTTTGTAGATGGATTGAGGTACTCACCTTTTTTGCAATTTATACTAAATCATGCTTTTTAGAAATCTGTACCAATTACATAAATCATGTCCATTTAACTAATATGAGAAGCTGAAGGTTAGATCCTGTTTTTGATGCCAACGTTTTGCAAATCAGTATTTTGTAGTCGAGATCTCTGATCTGACAAGCCATTGTGGTCTTGGATTTATTTCAGATAGTGCTGTCTACCAATATTGCAGAAACGGGAGTCACAATACCTGATGTTGTTTTTGTCATCGACTCTGGAAAGACCAAAGAAAACAGGTAGAATATAATGTGTATTCAAACTGTTGTCATTTCTACTAACAATCATGTTCTTCTGAGCATTACTGTGGATTTAATGCACTTCCATTAATGTACAATAGCTAATATAAATTACAGATTGTGTAATGGTTTTGGCTTGCTGATGAATGAGTATGTGATATGTATGTTGCCTCATACATTGTGGTGTGAAAGACTAAAACACTGTCTCCAACAAATGCCATACGCATTCCTCACTTTCCTGGGGCCCAGGTACCATGAGAGCAGTCAGATGAGCTCATTGGTGGAGACCTTCGTAAGTAAGGCCAGTGCCCTCCAGAGACAGGGTCGTGCCGGGCGCGTCAGGGAAGGCTTCTGTTTCCGCCTCTTCACAAAAGAAAGGTAAGCCTCTTTTTGCTAATTTAATGCAGCCAAACTGGGCAAACACAGTTGAGTTTCTCTGAAGTGTGGCCATTCATACATCATTGAAGAAAATGACTGAAACTCAAAAGTATTGTTAGCTCATATGGTAGAATGTTCTGTTGCACTTTAGGTTTGGTATCGACTTGTAGTGAATATTATAGCCCAGCAGATGGCACTGTCTTAAAGACAACCTGCTGAGCCTTGCCTCTGTCTAGCAAAGTGACAAAAAAAAAACTTTAAGAAATGCTTTAAAAATAATTAACGAAATACAGTTGTGCATGACCTTAGTATTGATTTAAATAAATTTTAAATTAACTGAAATATGTATTTTCATGTTCCATGTCTGTTGATCCATTTCTTGTATTATGTCTTTAAATACAGGAAGCGCACACAAAATGACAATGAAAACATACTTCTTATGTTATGTAATATGTAAATTGTTTGGCACAGTTCTTGCTTTAAGGTTCTCACAGATTCGTTTATTAACCGTATAGTCTGCTGGTTGTGGACTTCTGTGTTTCTGCAGATATGAAGGCTTTGTAGATTACTCTGTGCCAGAAATTCTGCGAGTTCCTTTGGAAGAGCTCTGTCTGCATATTATGGTAACACATTTTACGGTTGATTTTCACTTTCCATACATTAAGACTTTGTATTTCATGATTGCTCTCTAAAATGTGTTTGGTGTTTGATTTGCTCTGTCTAAGAAGAGTTGGTTTTAAATGCGCTGCATTGTTTGTATGTTTTAACCGTGTCCGTGTGGATTTTCTTTGGTTGCTCCAGTTTCCTTCCAGTCCAAAGACATTCTGGTTGGTTAAAGCTGGCATCACACTACACGACTTTTCCTAGGATTTTCAGTCATAGCCTTCATTTACATAATCGTAAGAAAATCCCAGCGAGTTGTAGAGAGACGCAGCGCACGCCCATTACCGTCAGTTTTGTAGTGTGACACCCCGAGCGACTTAGTCATAGCGCTCTTAACAGCTCTTAACCTTAAACAGGTTTGGTTTTCTCAGAGTGCATCACAAGTTGCAGGGGTGGGCTCTTGTGTCTGTGACAGTCAACAGCCAATGAGATCTCAACCGGAAGTACAATGCATACAATGCGAATGCAAGGAAAGAAGGAAAGCGAGTGTTTTGGACTGTGCAAATGAAGGAGAGGCTCGTCGAACTTTGGAGCCAGCACAGATGTTTGTTCGATGTTTTGTGTTTGTTGTTTGTTTACTTTCGTGCAGTGCTCCTCCTCTTATTCCGGTGTGCTCCACGTTGATTAGTTGCCAAAAGGAGGCGACCTTGCGGTACTTTCGCGGTATAATGCAAGATTTGGAACTGTGATGAAAAGTCATGAGGGAATCGTGTAATTAGTCACCCTGTAATTCCTAGTTATATAATTTGACACCTTCTAGGACAGAAAAGGCAGCATGATTCAGCAACTGCACTCATTACATTTGACATGCTTTCCAACTAGAAGTCGTGTCGAGTCATGTAGCGTGACAAATACTTAACTGGCTTTGGGGGAAACTGGCCCTGCTGTGAGTGTGTGTGTGTCTGCCCTTGTGCCCTTGCTTGCCGGGATATCTGTATTGCATAAATTGGCTAGAAAAAAAATGGATGAATGCTACAGTAAGACATGAATCCTGCCTGTTTTACAGAATTCCTGTTTGTTATTCCTTGCAGAAGTGCGAGTACGGCTCTCCTGAGGAGTTCCTGTCTCGATCTCTGGATCCACCCCAGCCCCAATCTGTCAGTAATGCAGTGAGTCTGCTCCGGAGGATTGGGGCCTGTGAACACGACAGCCCCACCCTCACCCCATTGGGACAGCATCTAGCAGCTCTGCCCGTCAATGTCAAGATTGGGAAAATGCTTGTCTTCGGCGCTATATTCGGATGTTTAGAACCCATTGTAAGATTGCCTTTGTTTCTTAAGTCTGTCACAGTTCTATGTTCTGGCAACCACTTAGTATTTCATGGAATATTTAGCAATATAGGGCTGGATTCTGAGCAACAGGCCAAACAATAAGACAAGGACAAAAGTGTTAGCACTTCATGAATATCAATGTGTTATCTGAGCAGTAGTGTGATTTTGAATTCATTGCAGTGTCTTCGTACTACCTCTGGCAATGAAGGTGTTATATATGGACTCATAACAATTCCTCTCTGAGCTGGTTCTGATAAAGGCATAGAGCACATCAGAATCTCACATTTGCATGCTGAAAGAGTTGTCTCACCAAGACTTTTCTTCAGGGCAAAACAGTTCTACAGATTATAAATAGTGGTGTCAACAGGACCTGAAGGAAAGACAACATTTATTTGAATATACAAGGGGACAAAATCATACAGACAAAAAGTGTAGACTGTTTTTTGTTGAAAATACATTTTAGATATGCATACATGCTTACTCAGCCTTTATAAAGAGAAGCAGCTGTTTCTCGGGACGTCCAAACTCCCCAAGTGACTCCCCAATTACCCCTAATTGTCACAGTGAATTTTTCATCTCCTATGGCTCTTTTACCAAGAAAACTGTGGCTGTCTACCCATTGCTGCAGGCAAATACTGGAGAAAACACAAGAATGTGTATTAACCTACATTGCCTTTTGTGTAAAAGATGACTTCAGCACTTCCAAATTTCTGCCAGTTTTTTTTTCCCAGAAGATTGCCTCTGACCCTCAGGTTTTTAGGCAGAGCTATAAGGCATGCCGTCAGGTTCCTGACCAAACAGGGCAATTGATTTGCTTTCCCTATCGCCCACACTAAAAGAGCACAGCCTAAATAAGCAAGAGTTGCTTCAGATATCCCTGGGGTCCCTAAGATTCCCGTTGCATATCTGCATTGTTTTAATATGCCTACTAGCACTATTTTGCTATGTTAAATAGCAATCAGCTTGCAAAATTCAGACCAAACCTCACCATCAAATGTGACCTGAGCAAGCCTTCTCTCTGTACAGTTTGTACCTCAGTTGTTGTTGCTTTTCTTCTTTGTCAGAATGTATATGTTCTGAATTACACAGCTGTCATGTCGATAAGTTGTTTCTGTCCTATAGGTCACAATATTACATTCTGTGACACTGTTTGGTTGACTGAGGAAGAGTGTTTGTGTTTTACCTCCAAAATGGCACTTGCATGTTTACATTTAGAAATTATTTTTTAAATTGTCCTCCAGAATATATATTTTGGGAAAATGATCAAATCCTGTTCAGTCATTTGGGAATACTGAAAAGTAAGGAAAAGTATTTCATATTATATTGATAGACGTATATGAGCCCTTCAAATACTCTGTTAAAATTTGTCCATTGAAATTGAAAGTTTATAAGGGAAACATGATTTTCATACCAGAAAGGTTAATTGATATTTTGATTAATGGATGCTTGATTAGATACATTTATTTTTACATTCAGACTAGTCATGTTACAGTTTGATAGAAACTGTCAGGATTTTTCCTGGAACCTGTGTTGACAGAAAATCATTTGTAAAACAATAAAAGATGCTGATTAGCAATAGAGATTTTTCTCTCAAAGAAGGACTAAAGACCAGAGATAAGCCCCTTATATGGCTTAACCTATCAAAAATGTCAGTGCTGTTTTTAGAGAATACTTGCAAACCCTCGATTGTAGTAAGGTGCGCACTACTGTTGGTATCTTTTATATCTAGGTGAAGGTGATTAGGTGAAGGTTGAAATTACTCAAGTTTAACATTTACATTCTAAAGTTTGATTTTATATTATATTTTTAAATATGCAAAATCACAGTTCTCCACAAGCACTTGCTAACAGCCTTCTGATTTCCTTAAGTAATTTGGTGTCCAATATTTAAACTGAGTTGAGAAACAGAATTTTTATCACAGCTGATTGAGATAAATGTGTCATGCTTTGCTGTGTTGTTTTAGCTTTCTTTTTTGACCACTTTGTGCTCATTCTACCATATACTCATCTTTCAGAGGCAAATTACTGTTAATATTATTATTACAGCAACATCTGTATAGAATCCTACCATTATGTTGCACAACAATAGAGTATTGCACTACTGCAGTGGCTAAGAATATTGTTTTTGCAAACCACACATTAAATGTCTTTAATTTTGCTCATTTCCCAGGCTACTATTGCAGCTGCAATATCTGAAAAATCTCCATTTGCAACTCCAATGAACAGAAAGGATGATGCAAACCTTGCTAAAGCTGCTCTGGCTATAGCCAATTCGGACCACCTGACCATTTATAATGCGTACTTAGGGTAAGGTGTTGTTGCTGTCATTATCATTCTGTTTATTGCTGTGTGTTCATTAATTAGAAAAGCTTGGGTTGCATTTTTGTGTGAGTTGATGCACAGTGCCTTGCAAAAGTATTCACCCCCCTTGGACTTTTTCACATTTTATTGTGTTGCAGCATGGAATCATGATGGATTTAACTGAGAATTAATGCCAATCATCAACACAAAGTACTCTATAATGTCAAAGAGGAAACAAAAAACCAGACATTTTACTAAATAAATAAAAAATAGATATTGATTAACAGCATAAGTATTCACCCCCTTCCTTTGATACACTTAAATTACCTCTGAAGTAACCAACTCTTTTCTCAAAGTCACATAGTTACTTGACTGGAGTCCACCTGTGTGCAGTTGAGGTGTTTCACATTATTTCAGAATAAATTCACCTGTTTCTGGGAGCTTCCCCACTTGGTGCATTTCCAAGGAAGACCAAGGAACATTTCAAGCAGATCCGATACAAGGTGTTTCTTGAAAATTACCAGGCAGGGCAAGGATATAAGAACATTTCCAAGGCATTGAATATACCTCGTAGCACAGTGTGAAGTCCATCATTAAAAAGGTGACATAATATGGAACAACTGTGAATTTACCCAGAACGCCATCCTCCAAAACTGAGTGTCCGGGCAGCTGTAGTAAGGGAGGCCACCAAGAGGCCTACGGCAACTCTAAAGGAGTTACAGTCCTCCATGACAGAGATGCAGAGATGGAAGAAACTGTGCATGAGATAAATAAATAGCTTGTACGGAAGGGTGGCAAGAAGAAACCCTTTGTTGAAAAAAAAAACTCATATCACATCTTGGCTGGAGTTTACCCAAAGGCATGTGAGAGACTCAACAATTTGGAGGAGGATTCTGTGGTCTGATCAAAATTGAACTTTGTTTGGCACAAACCCAACACAGCACATCACACTGAGAACACCATCCGTACAGTGAAGCATCGGTGGTGGCAGCTTCATGCTTTGGGGATACTTCTCTGCGGCAGGGACTGGAAAACATAAAGATAGAAGGGAAAGTGGATGGAGCTAAGTACAGAGAAATACTGGAGAAAAAAGTGCTGCAGTCCGCAAGAGCACTGGGACTTGGAAGACAATTCATCTTCCAACAGGAGAATGACCCGAAACATATAGCAAAAGCCACACTGGAGTAGCTTAAAACCAAAAAGGTTAATGTCCTGGAGTGGCCCAGTCAAAGCCCAGACCTCAATCAAATTGAGCATCTGTGGAATTACCTAAAAATTGCTGTTCATCAGTGATTGGGACCATCCAACTTGATGGAGCTTGAGCAATTTTGCCGAAAAGAATGGGCAAAAATTCCAGTGTCAAGATGTGCAACGCTGAAAGAGACTTACCCAAAGAGACTCACAGCTGTAATTGCTGCCAAAGGTGGTCCTAACAAGTATTAACTGTTGGGGGTGAATACTTATCCATTCAATTATTTTCTGTTTTTTATTTTTAATTGATTTAATAAAATGTCTGGATTTTTCTGGATTTCCACTTTGGCATTATAGAGTACTTTGTGTTGATGAGTGGCGAACATTCTCAGTTAAATGCATCATGGTTCCATGCTGTAACACAATAAAATGTGAAAAAGTCCGGGGGGGGGGGCTGAATACTTTTGCAAGGCACTGTACATATTTATTAAAGGTATAGTACGCTATGTAGTCAAAAAAATAACTTCATAACCTCGTGACTTTTGATTTCTAGGAGTGGGTTGTGCTCACAGACACTAGGCCTCTGTCTGTCCATCCACAGTGGCTGCATCTTGCTTCTAAAATAAAGGAAAGAAAACAGAAAATGAAATGCAAAATTATCTTCAGTAATCCTTTTTCCAACTGTAGGTGACTTTATTAAACCACATCTCTGGTTTTGTACTATACATAATTGAGAAATTTTGATTCTCAGGTGGAAGAGTGCACGCAGTGAGGGGTGGCGAGCTGAAATGGCTTATTGCAGGAAACACTTTCTGAATCGCACGGCCCTTCTGACCATTGAGGTACATTGTTTGTAGTAGTTGTGTTGTTGCAGCTTTCTGTTTTTTGAACAATGTTCTATTTAATTTCAAAACTGAACTGAGTTTAGAAGATACAGAAATAGCTCATCAAACAAAGTGTTTAAACTGATAAAGTGTTCTTGTGCATTTGAAATAAAGTTTACTGGTTATATACTGGCATCAGGATGAAGGTGATTAAATTAATTGAGATTTTTCATCGTATTTTAACTTCATAATTTGCCAAAGTTTAGTTCTTATTTAATCATATTTAATATTATTTATGGTGCACTTATATTTAATTAAAGAATCAACCAGAGCATGTTCGAGAGTGATTTATTATGACAAGTATGGGCGTGCAGGCATATAAAAACAACCTGATTTTTTTTTTTCTTTTCCACAGGATGTGAAGCGGGAGCTGACGAGGATGATGGAAGCAGTGGGGTTCTCTTCACCAGTGTCAAGAACAAGCCAGCCTTCTCCCAAGAGCTCTCTGTCTGCCCAGGAGATTGCCATTGTCAACACTGTACTGACAGCGGGCTTGTATGATAGTGTGGGCAGGATTATCTACACCCCTTCTGTGGATGTCAATGACAAGACAGTGTGCACTGTGGAGACAGCACAAGGCAAGGCACAAGTCCATCCCTCCTCTGTCAACAGGAACCTGCAGACCTATGGCTGGCTGCTCTTCCAGGAAAAGGTGAATAAGCTTGCAAGTGACAACTAATGAGGTGACATTCAAAGTGAGAAAAGGAAGATTGTAACAGTTCTTCGTGCTGATTGTGTTTTTCACACAGGTGAGGTATTCCAAGGTGTATCTACGGGACACTACTCTGATCTCTCCATTCCCAATGCTTCTGTTCGGAGGAGACATTGATGTGCAGCACCGTGAGAGACTCATCTCTCTAGATGGATGGATCCACTTCCAGGTCAGGATACAGCCATGTGTACCAGACCTTCATGAATGGCTAATAAATATTGAGACCTTAATGGCAAATTTCATGTTTGTCACGGCACTAGTTAACTACTGAGATCTTGAAATATCGCTTTAAAATACACACCTATACATGATATCAGAATAATCATACCAAAATTATCTGATGCTTTTTGCTATGATAATAAAGGCTTAATTTTAATATTGACCCTCAATTCATTTCAAAAAGTAGGTTATTACCGTTTACTAATGTCTGTTGCTACCATTCCTGGAGCTGGTCAATGGTGATGGGGAATTCTATCTAAGGAGACTGGGCAGGGAGAAGCCCCCAGTAAATTGCTTTAGAGCTTTATTTATCTTAGGTTTTGTAGCATTCGAAAACCTACAAGAAGGTTATGTGACAGTATTTTTTCATTGTTTTGTTGTATATGACTCTGCCCTGTTATGAGATTTATATGCTGTAATTATCTGTATAAACCCCTTTTCAAAATTCATGTGTACAACAAAAATAAAAATAGGAGTTGTATCATCTTCAATAATTTATAAAACAAAATAATCTCATCCAAGTTTCTAAACATAGGTATTTCTAATTTAAAATGGTTCACCGTAACAGAAAGCCAATGTACAATAGATATTATTCTTATAATAGAATTAATAATAGAATTATTCTTATTCTTCCAGATGAGGAGGATTAAGAAATAAATAATAGTAAGGAACCCTGTTTGGAGATTTTGAGCCCTGAAAGATCCCGAATGAGGCAGATTACAGATCTATTGTAATAATTTTCCCCATTAAACCAAAAGTCCTCAATGTCAGTGTCAGTTGTTTGTTGATTTTATTGTTGACATGATTTAGATTCTTTACAGCCATTTAAAAATTCTTCTTGAAGTAAAATGTACCCTATGTAAAAATGTATTAACTGAATTTAATGTCGGAAGAAAATATGAAGGTGTTCAAACAAAGTTTAAGCCAGTAATAATCAGAATTACTTAATACCAGGTGCTGTTACTCCACTTACTTTGTGGAAAATACAGTGAACCATGAATACAATGAATAGAAATAAATGTACCTTATTGTTTATAGATAATTTTACTTTCCCCCATCATATTCTAATTATGATATAACTGGGGTCAGTTCAAGAGAAGTACTGATTTTACTATACATATGATCACATATAGACGTTGGTTGTACTGAAATATCTGGGTAATTGGGGGAAAAAAATATTCCAGAGCCAACTGATGAAAGGAAATTAATTCTCTTAACAGAAATTAACTGCCGAAGCTTAACAATGCCCTTTTACTTCAATGCTGCAAAATGAATGGGTTTATTCCTAATACTAATTCCCCAATAAATTTGAGTAATGCCAAATAGTTGACTCCAAAGAAGGAGATATTTCATACTTAAATATACAGTGGAGGTTATGCCAGGCTTCCAACATTACAAAAATACATGGATTACAGAGACAACTGGGTTTTGTAATAGATTTATTACTAATAATGGGGATATCTCTTCATTTATATTCTTAAAGTTAGTGCGTGACAAACATAGAACATTTAAACCACAGATAACTTAAATAAGAGTTAACATACATATGTATAATGCTTTTCATTATTTCTTTCTCTGCTCTTTTGTCTTTCTTATTTTCCCAGGCACCAGTGAGAATTGGAGTAATATTTAAACAACTGAGAAAGCTGATAGAGAGTGTTCTGGAGAAAAAACTTGAGAACCCCAAAATAAACTTAAAAGGTAATTTAGTATTTTCTCTAGAAGTAATATTGATGATAAAGAATGACAAAGACACATGTAATAACCTATCTTTTTAAAACAATTATTTTGTAAAATGTTTCGTAAAACAAATTGTTGTGACCATGAAATTCAGTGATTATATTATTAAAATTTGCTTTAATACTCTGCAGTACCAGCTTTTACTATGGATTATAGATGTACATTCATGCCACATGTGCAAGTAAGGATTTGTTCTGTTAAGCGGAGAGTTGATACAGTCTCCTCTTCTTCTCTTTCAGATGACAAGACTATAAAGATCATAACAGACCTGATTAAAAGTGAAAACGCCATTTGATTTAATTTTTTCATATAAATTAGTGTTGTATTTAAAAATGACTTGGTCATATGCCTCTTTTATAAGGACTCCAATAAAAACAATTGGGGATGTGATCATGTAAAATAATAAGATAAAAGGGCAAATTGGTTAATTTTAGTTTAAAACTGTTGCCAAAATTGCAGTAACACTTTAATAGCATGACTGCTTCTTCTGTGACATTATGGATTTTAATCTGTAGGCAGTCATAACCACAGAAGCTATTGTGTTTTTGTTTTGGTACAAAGTTTTTGTAAAATAAGACTGTTACTATTTTCTGACTGAGAGCTTCATCTGAAGTGTCTGTGTATTTTTGGTGACTGATAACTTTTGGCAGTGCACAGTTTGTACCTAATTGGAGAATAAAAAGGCTTCACCATGGTAGAACCCAGAAATATCTTCTATTTAACCAGCCTTGAAACCACAGTGCTACTAGTGTAGAACCTACAGTATGGAGGTACTAAAGAAGGGTTTTTTATTGTGTCATCAAACACCCTTAAATAATAAAGCTGAAATCTGTGTTAACTGCATTGAGACATCTAGATGTATACAAAATTAGTACAATAAATATTGCTATAGATGCCTTGAATGTGAATATATGAGTGTGACTGTAATGAAAATAACCTTTTTGTTCAGATTTTTCTGCCTATATTTTCTAATATGAACAAGGAACAAACCAAGTGAAATTGAGAAGCTCTTCCTGTTCATTGAAGATGAGATCTCACTCACTCATCCTCAGCAATGAATATCATGTATATTTTGCAGTAATGACGGCAGTAGAGATAGTGAAGTTAGAAAAAACAATTTAAAACAACTTTCTGTTCCTACTCCTCCAAAATGTGTATGATTTTTGATAATATTATAAAAAACACTTTTATGGACCTGTTCATAGCAAAATACTTGGCTGCTGCACTGTAGAAAAGGGCTGTATTATTTTTACTTTCCAGATTTCTTAAATGTCTGATTAATTCGTTTAATAAGATACTCAAATGATAGACTGTCTTTTATATAATCTGTAACTATATTTTCCAGAGTCCCATGAAAGATCCTTTTTCATTCTGAAAGGCCCTATATTTCTATCTGCAATATAAATTCTAAATTTTAAATAACAGAATTTGAACAGAAACCTAAGGTGACAGCAGGCCAGAGTAATGTAAACCAGTAATAATCAGCTCCATAATCCATAAAATTATTTTAATGCTAACTAGAGCAGGTTCAAAAAGACTGAAAAGCAGGAATTCCAGATTGTTTATTTTTTAATTAAACAATGAGGAATTCAGGCATCTAAACGTTTCTGGCTTGACGAAGTAGATATGACCAAAAAAAAGTTTAAAAAAACAGACTTTTTATCATAAAATGAAGCACTAACTTTGTAAAGCAATTATTAAATAAAGTAAAGCCAGCAATATGCCTTCATTTTACTCCCAAAGGAGTATTTCTAATTTTAAATACAATTCTAATTTCCTTAATATCCTTTAGTCAGATGTGGAAATATATCTAGAAATTATAAATAAGAAAATAATTTAATTTGCATGTATACATTTAAAACCTTTTTCAGCAATTTGTTTTATTATTTTCCTTACTTTTTGTAAACTTTGAATGTTGCACTTTCTAGACTCTGTGTTTCTGCTCAAATCTATTAAGTCCAACAGCAGAGAAAAAGTGTACCAGCTTTCTCATGACCTCAGTTACTTGACTAAGAACAGAAAATCATCGGCTGTGAGCTGACCTGCATCTCTGATATCTGTCGGACCCGCATGTAGCACAAAGGGTTAAAAATACTCTTAAGACTCTGCACACCCTGCTAATGCCCTTTTTATACCACTTCCCTCAGGAAAAAAGACCATTAAGACCAAAACCTCTCATTTCCTTAATAGTACTTACTGTAAGACTATACGGATACTGAAGAGCTTTCCAATTACACATTAGTACTTTATGATGACTATTGACAATGTAAATAGATTATAAACCCCTTTAATGCACCAGTTATTTCATTTTATTTTAATATTGTGTGAGATTCTTTCTTGTTACCTTATGGTTTTATGTTGTGTTTAATGTTTCTGTTAATTTTTTTTATCATCTTATTGTTTAATTGTTATGAGCACACTGAGGCAAATTCCTAACAACTAAGTTGGTATGGCAATAAGTCTTGAAGTCTTGAATCTTGTCAAAGTCAAAACAAGACGTTGCGGCTCTGAGACAGCTACCTCTTATTTTTTATTAATATTGATAGCAGAACAAAAAAAAGTAACAAAACATCAAAAAATGGATGCTAACATAATAAATAGATAGGAGGACTCCTTACACACGTTCTGAAAATGAGAGAAAGCACTGTCACCCATTATGATCAAGGCTGTGTTTTCTTTGCCTCAGTAACAGCACAACCTCACCCCCCCCCCCCCACACACACACACACACCAATGTCACAAAAAATGCCACTTCAGCAGCATGAAGGCAAACATGATGTATAAAGAATTATTAGCTTTTGGCCAAAGTGCATTTTTACCATGTTTATTTTTTTTCCACATCAAAAGCAGAATAGAAACAACTAACCACTGGCTAAAAAAGAAAAAAAATGGTGGATAATTATCTAAGTAGATCAATGATGCTTTCCAAACTTGAATACTAATACATTACTCTTTTCTTCCTCTTTATGTCTCTAGAAGCTTATTGTGACTTTAAAAATAAGGTTAAGGTGCATATTCTGGAAACAGCAATATATATATATATTTTTACTTTTTCTTAACTGAATAATAACTGTTTAAACAAATAAAAATGTTTAAAACTATTTCTGTATCCTTTCTGTAAAGGAACAAGTGATAGGTTTATTCCATGCTGAAAAGAAGAAAGAAAACAATGTTTTTTGCTGTGGAGCCTTCTTCGGGTGTGAGAAAAACAGGGCAGACAGCAAAGATTAAATAGCATAGGAGAACAAAAGCTGGGAGAGTGGAGGAGGTGAGAGCAGGGGAGAGGCAGAGAGGCCACTCGGGTGGCGAGAAGTAGAGAGAGGTGTGAAGTCAAAACCTGCATGTGAATAGAGTAGATTACACGAAAATAAGACTGTTATTGAGAGAAGGGGGATGGTGTGAACCAAGTTTCAGGATAATGTTCTGGAGAAGCCGGCACAGGGGTGGAGGATGTTCTTTTGCCCATGTCTCTGGGAGAGAACAGCGCCAACTCCATAGGCAGAGGCGTTGACTTCAACAACGAAGGGTAATAAGGGATCAGGGTGTTGGAGCAGAGGGGCCGACAAAAAGTTGTTTTAGGAAGGCTTTGTGGGCTTCAGGGTTCCACTTGCCCAGGTCAGGCCCCTAACGCGTGAGTGCTGTGATTGGGGCGATGACCGAGCTAAAGGTCCTGATAAACCAGCGGTAAAAGTTAGCGAACCCCAGAAACCACTGGATCTGTTTGAGGTTCCTAGGGGCAGGCCAGTCGCTAATAGCCATTACCTTATCAGAATCTACTTCCACACCCTGGGGAGAGATGACATACCTGAGGAAGTGAATTCTTGAGGCATGAAAATGAGGTGTGAAAGGACCTCATGGACATGGGGACATGGTCCTGGAAGTTACTAGAAAAGATCAAAATGTCATCCAGGTAAACTAAAACGTGTCTGTGCAGGATGTCACGAAAAATATAGTTATTGAATGAAACGAAGGGGGCATTAACCATGCCAAGGGGCATGAAGACATATTCATAATGTCCTCGAGTTGTTATAAATGCAGTTTTCCATTCATCTCCCTCCTTAATGCAAATAAGATTATAAGTGCCTCACAGTTCCAATTTACTGAATATTGTTGCTTCCTGAAAAGATTCGAGCTTAAGGTATAAGAGGGAGGGGATGGCAGTTGGGAATAGTGATGCTATTGAGACCCCAGTAGTCTACATGGTCTGAGTAAGCCATCCTCCCCCCCCCCCCCCAAAGAAAAAAACGGCACAGGGTGGCAACGTGGATGGGCGTATGAAACCCGCAGCCAGGGAGTCCCAGATGTATTCCTCCAGAGCTCTCTTCCGGAACTGAAAGGGAATAGACCCACCCCTTTGAAGGTAACACACCAGGAAGTAGATCAATCGCGCAGTCGTAGGGGCGGTGAGGTGGAAGACAAAGAGCCTTTTGTTTTCTAAAGACCTGCTTGAGATTGGCGTACTTGGGATGAATTCCAGGAGGGGGATCCAGGGAGACAAAGGCTGTAGAAATGCACACCAAGAGACAGCAACACTCAGAATGGTGCTGAAGGCCCCGGGCCAGGATCTCCTTGCAGGCCCAGGAAAAGGGAAGGGTCATGTTTGAGAAGCCAGGGGTGACCCAGGAGAAAGGGGTGAGATGTAGAATCTAGGAGCAGGAACTGGATGCTTTCTTGATGAGTAGCACTGATCAAATGGGTGAGTGGGACTGTCTGCCAGCAGATCTGTCCAGGGGAGAGTAGTGAGCCATCAAAGGAGGAGACTTGGAGAGGGAGTAACAGTGCGACACAAAGGATCTTCTGATCCTCGACTAAAGAGGCATCTAGAAAGTTCACCCAAATTAAGAAAAGCCAAGAGATTGAATTGGCATTTCCCCCCCATGAGAGGCATACGGTGAGAGAAGGGCTGTAAGAACGGTGCGAGGTGGAAACGATACTAACTCGGGAGATGTAGTATTGCATGGAGGGCCATGGGATCGGAGGGGGCAAACAGGAAGATGTTCAGAGGAGCCACGGTACATGCAAAGACCCTCGCGGAGGTGTTTCATTCTCTACTCTGCTGAAAGACAGTGGCCTTTTCTATCTTCGAGAGTAGTAGTTGGTGAGGTGGGTCATGGAGGGAGGGAGGTGGAGGCGGTGGGCAGGTGTCTATCCGTTCTGATGTCAATCTCAAAGACCCAGAAAATGAAGAACTCCAGTGAGGTGAAGTCGAGGGGAAGGTGGATAAGGTGGTCCTTTAATTCATCAGATAACCCCCGACGGAACTGTCGAATGAATGATTCTTGATCCCAGGTTGTCTGAGGGGCCAGGGAGAGAAATTTGGCGATGTAATCCTGCAGGGGACGATTTCCTTGTCCAAGGGTAGAAAGGCAATGAGCAGCCAGGTGAAGAGGATAGAGCTGACCAAAAGTGTCTTGCAAGGCGGCTTGGAACCAGATGACATTGGCTGTTTCGGGAGCATTCTGGATGAGGAGGGCGGTGGCCCAGTCCAGGGCTCAACCGGAGAGGTCAGAGGGTAAGCAGTCGGGGCGGAGTTGGAAGGCCATCCAACACTGAGTCAGGAAGCCCTGGCAGTTGGTGGAGTCACCGTCAAACTTATCCGGAGTGGGGAGAGGTAGAGGGGTGATGGGTGCTGCAGGAGGCTGAGGAGGTACGGGGGCTGTGGCCAGCTGGGGAGGCGAGGATTCAGTCACATGAGTGACGAGTTGTTGAACAGCTGCTGTTAGTTGTCCCAGGGCCTGGGGGTGTTGCTGGAGTATGGAAAAAAGATCGCTCTGACCCACGGGGTTCATATTGTCGGCTATTCTGTTAGGGACGAGCTATTAATAGGTCTCTAGACAGGGTCCGAAAGCTAAAATATCCAAGACAGGTGAAGAAGAGTGGTCGGTATTACCAAGCGAGGTCAAATCCGGGTAGTGAGAATGTAGTCAGGCAAACAAATCCGAGAGGGG